AAGAGATCTTTATTCTTTCCCAGTCTCCCTTAGCACCACACCTTAGCTCCCCTGTAGGAAGACAGAGCAAATTAAGGGACCAAGATTTGCCCCCAGGTTGTACAGTGGCTGAGGTTGCGCAGTGAAAAGAGATGATGGCTGAAAACTGTGCAGCGTGCCAGGTACTTGGCTCACATTGTGCTAGGATTATTGTCTCTACATGCAGTGAAAGGAGCTGTTCAAAATCCCAGCCTCACATCATGCCAAAAATCTGTGCATGTCAGGTTTTTTGTTTGTCACGGAGAATGTGGCACTACTCTTCCATTCCTATTATTCCTTTCTGTGGGAAAGCCCTTATCTACAATAAATAAACCCCAGCAGTTTGAGTGTGCTTTATGGAATATTTATTTTTTTTGAATTCTTCTGGTTTTACAACTTCACTACTTAATTTCTGATCTGCTAGCAGAAAAAGCCAGGAGACAGCGGTCGGTGGGAACACAGCTGGCTGTTTTAGGAGGCAGATGTGCCAATAACTATGTTAAGATGTGCACACATGTTCATGTCTCCCTGTATTTTCTGCAGTTATTTGATGGGTTTTCCATGTTCTCCACCTTCCATGGTTGCAGGTTTGTACTTCTTTAAACAAAAAAACAACAAAAGCAACTATGATTTCTACAGTTTCAGGTCTGCAGAATGTTGCTTTTTAGATTGTTCAGAAGTGAAAAGCTGAAACTTTCTCCACATTCTACCAACCAGCAAACTATCACAGTAGCCTTGGTCTGTGCTTCCAAATTCTGTATTATAGATCAGTGGTACCAGATCAGCCCAATGCTCCTCTGTGAGGACTGGACTTGTATTGATTATTTTTTTGCAAGTGTTACTATGTCACAGGTAAACAAGAAATAATAATGAATAAACAAATTAACTATGTAAGTGAGGTTAATTTCAACTAGATAGAAAGTTTAACCCCTGTAAACAGGCACACCTATTAATAAAAAGAAGACTTTTATCTTCAGTAGGTCGTTGTGTTCATTTCCAAACGAGTAGGTCCTTCCTCTGATTTGCCCTTAGGTTAAACGTATTTGTGTTCTTGTAGCTGCAAAAATTTTGCAGACAAAGAAAGAAAGTTGTAAGTATTGAGAGATTACCTCTTGTGTGATATGTTGCTACCTAGCTACAGATCTTCAGAGGTTGTAGGTGCTGTGAGATTCCAGACCTTGTGTGACTGTGTGACTTCAGGCAGAAAATACGAAAGAAATGGGATTGGTGGGAGCAAGCTATCCCCAGCATTCACAGTGTGACCTCACTTCTGAGCAGCGCCAACTTGTTGGTGAAAATGAGTGCTTCCAGAACAGCAATGTTACAGCTTCACAGCGGAGAGAATTCACACGTTCAATCAATGTTGGATTTTGTAGAATACTTGAGACCTCTTTCAGGACTGCACTGTATGAAGAAGACTTACATTCACACATGCAGAATCATTCACTCACAGAATGATCCAGGTTGGAAGGACCTCAAGGATCATGAATTTCCAACCCCCCCACCACAGGCAGGGCCACCAACCTCCCCATGTAATACCAGACCAGGCTGCCCAGGGCCCCATCCAACCTGGCATTGAACACCTCCAGGGACGGAGCATCCACAGCCTCTCTGGGCAGCCTGTTCCAGCACCTCACCACTCTCTCTGTAAAGAACTTCTCCCTGATATCCAACCTAAATCTTCCTTCCTTATTTAAATGCCCATCTACTCTACTAAAAGCACTTCATAGGCCTGCATTTTCTGTGCCAACATAACCAAAAACAGAATATGGTTACAATAATGTACAGTCCTTTTAAAATGATTGTGCTCTCCAGCATTGCTCTTGTTAATAATTTCCAAATGGAATTTGCATAACAATCTTTCTTTTCGAACTGCTGGTCCAAGAAACCAGGCTGCAACACTGCCACTGAAGCTTTGTTCTGCAAGTATGCTGGAACAGTAATTTAGTTGTCAGCTTTAGGTTGCATGAGCACAATTAGCTTTATGCAGCCAGCGACAAGTCCACATGCCTCTGTGAGGAATCAGACGAGGAGAAGCACTGGGTCTGGCTGAACTTGCTAGAATTCATCCCAGAAATTTTAGAGCAAGCTTAAGTATCTCTGTAGATATAGGATATACAGGTTTCCTCAGAGTTTCAGCTATGTACCACTAAATGTTTTCATTATACTATGTCCTGTGGTCAAATGAGGCTGAGAGGCGAGCACGTATGGCTGATAACTGCTGTCTATTGAGATCTTAAAATTAAATTGGCCTGAAGCTCCCCATTAGTTGTACCATATGATCACATATATATTTAATTTTAATTAATATTTCCTTCAAATTTTTCTCTTCATCCCACCTCCAGAGGCAGTGGTGTGGTGGGGTTCTGACATCTCCCACAGCAGCTGCTCGCTCTAAAGATACAAAGCCAAGGCCAGAGAGTTTGGTGGTTGCCAAGTGGTAGAACCAGGTCCCTCACACCACTGGGTCTCACAAGTCACACAGTGCCGTCAAGTGCCATGAAAGCAGAGACGGCACCTTGCTGGAGCTGTGCAATTGCCGTGGGAGCTTGGTGTGAGGGCACGTCCAGCACAGCTCTCCTCTGCCCCGTGGGGAAGGCTGCTTGCGCACCTTCCTTTGCAGTGGAAATGAGAGCAACCCAACCTATGCAAACGGGGCAGGAGAGCTGCTCTGTGACTCACGCATTCTGAAGTGCCGCTTCTTGTTCAGCACTGCAAGAACAGACGCACAGTGCACACGTGCCAGCGGTCACGCACAGCCAGGGGTGCAACGCTGGCTGAAGCAAGCCAGGGAAATGCTGCTGCAGGGGATCTGTGCTCCTGCGCCATCACCAGACAATGAACACCCACATCAGTACAACAAAGTGAACACAGCAAACCTGCGTCCTCTTCCCTTTAAAACAACTTGGTTATTTCTGCAGCTTATGACTCCTAGAAACAAGCCCCAGAATGTTAAACATGGATACCTAGGCAACAGCAGCTGACAAAGATGTTTGGTGAAATCCTTGCCTTCCTGTTTTTTTTTTAATTAATGCACTGGCTTAAGTTACACCGGCTGAGTTCAGAGGTGAGAAATAATTTTTTCACATCTGTCTAGGAAGGCTTTATGGCATAGTCCTTCTGAATGAAATGAATTTATTTTATTCTCAGTACCATGGCTGGAGAAAAAAAAGAAAAAACAAAAAAAGAGGGCTGGCAGGACTGGGTGAGTGTTTTGGAACAACCACACTGTGCTTGCCATTCTTCTCCAGTTTCAGTCCCTTCACGTGGGAAGGTGGACACCCAGCTGAACAGAGGAGTCTGATTTTTCAGTCTGCAGCCTTGCAGGGCTGTGACGGCCATTTTCCTAAGCTGACCCAACAGTCAGCCAAAGGCTTGGGGGAGGTACAGGCAGAAGGCTAAGCAATGCATGCCTTACACCCCCAGGCTGGAAACCACGTATGTGTTTTTTTAAGCAGCTGATGCACCAAGAGGGCCCCAACCCAAACCACACAGCGATAAGAAAGCTGCTCAAAACACATACTCATGGAGCACTACTCTCCTTGTAGACCAGGCAGGTTACACACAGGACCAGGCAGTTAGAGGCAACAGAGCGGGAGTGGTAGTGAGAGGCCTTCCCAGCTGGCAATTAGCATAACGAGCGGCAGGCTTAGCACATCTGCCATCTGCCCACCGCTAAGTGTCTTGTAAAAAAACTCAATCACGAGGAAACCAATTTGCTGGTGGTAAATCGTGTTGTATGAAAACAGTAAGCCACACTCCATAAGGTTACATGCCAACGGCAGAATACATCATGGCCTCCTCTGATTCCTTCCAAGGCGTGTAACAGCAGCTACTCTAACACATAGCCCGTTCTTTTAGTCTTTAGCAGTAATGACCTTATCTCAAAGCCTGCACAATGGACCTGCAGAACTCCTCCTACTTCCCTTCCCTTCTATGCTAGCTCCGTTTCTCAAAATCAGTTGGAAAAGATGTGAGATTTCTACTCCCTCCCTCACTGAACCCATTTCTGTGATAGGCTTAACCTCTTATTCCTCTTACAGAATACCAAAGGCTTCACCCTGCATGAAGGACTGTTTATGAGGCAACTGCTGAGCTACAGGCCTTGGAGACATGCTATGGAAGAGCATCCATCAATTCCCAAGCTGCTGAATGAAACTCCCAGATGCTCTTAAGAGACTTCCAGATGCTTTCAGTCATCTAACTTAGAAATGATGCAGACAAGGTTACACCTTCCCTGACATAAAGACAACTATTCTTATTCTTTTCTTATTCTACTCTACTCTCGTTCTATTCTACTCTTACTCCCTTATTCATTTCTTTTAGCAAATGAAACCAATTTATTCCTTCCTATATAAGTCTATTTTTCTCATGGGGAACAGAAAGTAGAGTAACCAAGAGGCAACAGGAAAACAGCCCGTACCTATAAATTAGTTTCCAGTGGCTCCTCTGTTCCCCACAGGCCATAGGCTGACTGTGGGTTAGGAAGAAATACAGCAAACTGAGATTAAGCATGGATAAAACAGAGTTATCCTCGTGAGCCAACAATATGTCATCATATATTAAAATCCTGAGAATATGAATTTGGACTGGGATTGTGGAGGCAAAGTTCAGACTATCTGGCAAATAGTTTAATATGTAAAATGATCACCTTTATTGAAGAACACCACCGTGCAGACAGGGGAATTAGGGCAAATAAACCTCACGGATTTATAGGCTACCACAGCAGGCAGCTTGGAAGGAGGAGACTGGGTTTTATCCACTTCCCAGATATCGGGACATTTCTCTCCATGATAAGAATTACAGGATATTTTTGATACACTGATAGCACTTCTGTTCTAAAGGAGCCCACTCTGGTGTAATTAACTAGACAGTTAGAAAGGGCTGCTTGCAGCACCACAGGGGAACTATAGAAAACACCTGTCCTTGGGCTCCATGGGCTTTTGAAACCAAAACAAGCCACAGACATGATGCTCCATATATTACTTTTAAAAATCTTTTTAATGAAGAAATAATTCCATTCCAAAATATAGACACACAATTAAATAGTTTAATCACTTCAAAATATAACATGTCCCCAGTAGGTTCCAACACACACACACAAAACAATACTTAACAGCAATACAAAAAACCCATACAATAGCAGTTCTGTTACAATACCAATGAATATTGTGACATCTTTAGTGTCTCTGTATCTGTCTCAAGTGGTGTCAAGTACAGTAGTTTTAAAAATGTCTTGCAGTTAGTAGCCTCAAGATGTAACTCTTCATACATTTGTTTTTGGTTCAAAGGTAAAAATGCCCTTTGCCTTCAGGACACAGTGGAGTGCTTGTTGTTCACAGCTCCGTCTGCTGAATTGAACCAACGTGATTACAGCAACCTGAGGTTGCAATATTTACAAAATCTATCTACAGTAATTGCCAAGAACCAATAAAGATGGGAGAAGATGACCGAAAGTAAAGGCAGACACACATGATAAATCATGATGCAACAATTTGGCTCATGCATATAAGAAAATACATATTATATCACAACAAAGGCCACACACCTTTTTATGCAGTTTAGTTAACATTACTACTTACAGACAACCCATTCACCACCTTCGCTTTGGACATTCGAGGACCCTATACATCTTCACATCCCTGTCTCCTGAATCCAAACCACTGGTTCCCTCCAGTGACAGTAAAACCACCCAGTTTTGACTGCTGTGGTGGGCCATCGGGAGCTAAGAAGAGGCCCCCGCCAAGGACCTCTTCTGTAACTCTGTTTGCTTTAATGACCGCAAACCACAATCAAAATAATATTCAACAAGCAGACAAAGACCAGCTGGGTGAATATGTAGCCAGCTTGACAGTTGGGAAATGCTTAAAATAGATATTTGGAGAGCTGAGTGAAGGGTGCTTCATCTCGGGGCTCCAGGGAGGCAGGGACCTAGAGCTCTGCTGGGGATGGCCCTGCTGACACCAGTCTGACAGAAAGGCATGCGATCCGCCAGCTTCCCTCATTGCTCCTAGTCTGGAAGCTCTCGCAATAGAGTTATTCTATTGTGTCTATTTTAAGCATAGTGATAATGATCACACAGACATGAAGATGATGGGAGAGAGCTACTACTCTGGGTACAGTTAAACATGACATGGGTTGAATTAGTCAGCCATCGCACGTAGCTGTGTTCCAACTTGTTTGTTCTGTCTCTGTTCAGGAAATGTTCAATGGAATCCTGAGCTGACAGCAACATCTACAGTTTCTCTGGAGTAGCTCTAAATGTGGAGTGCTAGGCACTAGTGGAGGCTCACCCATTCCTGAGAGGAGGCTGGAGGAGGGGCATCAGAATATGGGGCCAGCCTTGCCAGGCTGGTACATATCCAAGGGAAAGGACCTGTGGCTGCAGAAGTGAAAAGTTTACATGAGGGTATCTGGATACCTCAGAATCTGTTTGGATGTCTGAGACCAAGCCTAGATACGCAAGGAGGTATGGATAAAAGATTTGCATAAGCAATAATGCGATATGAAAGTGAAAAATGGCAGCAGCTCTTTCATACAGATACTCATCCCCTAGCACACTGTGCCCAGGGAAACAGCCATAAGCCTGGAGAGTGCATGCAAGCATCAAGTGAACAGAGTTGAGCTACACAGCAATCTCAAGTAAATACGGCAGCGCACATCCACGTAACCACAAAAGGAGAGGACAGACAAACCATGTTCACCTGCTCCACACGGTAACTGACCACCTGCTGTAGGCAAACTGTGCTGGTGTGAAATACCTGTATGAAATGCTACTGTTATCAGGGCTGCTGGACGGCACCACTTCGGAAGCAGCAATGTCGTATTGGTGCAGTAAAATTACATCTGCCCAGAGGTCGCCCCAGGCTAACGCACTGCGCTTCTCCACTGGGCTGTGCATCCAATGCACTGCCTTGTGTTGACACGGCCATCCTGCTTCTGGTCTAGCTGTCCATGGGCTGGCTCCAGAGACATGGCTCTAGAACTAGCCATGGTATGTGATCTGTCATAAAGGTGTAAGCTTTATTTCCAAGCAATACGCTGTGTGGGGGACATTCCACTATATTTTGCGTCTGTCCCTGCTCAGAACTGTCCCTCAGTTTGCAGTAACAGTGAGCAAACAGTTCTTACCTAGCAGTTCTTAGCTTCCTAATCTCAAACAGCAGGATATGTCCCCTTTCTCCTGAAATACCTTTACACTTGAGTTACAAAAATGCACAAAGCTCCAATCCTGTAACTGTATGCCCGTCCTTTCAAGAAAACCCACCGCTTCTCTTGTGCTTTTCACTGATAGCTAATTCTCCATCCAGCTCTGAAAGAGTCTCACCACACATTTCCAAGAGTGCATGCAGAACATCTGGTGGCTGGCTAAGGCAATACACATTCGGAAATCAAAAGAGAACAGTTGCAAGCGCACTTTAAGCCTGTACATTTAAAGCTGAAGGCCTCAAAAATAACATCATGGAGTGGGTGAGACGGAGGGGCAGAGGAATGGAAAGAGACGATTTGTTGAACACATGCTTACTAAAGCTAAAACATCAATGAAACAATACCGTGGAAGATTATACATAACATCAGTCAGTTCAGGGATCTTATGGCACCTGTGGTTTATAAACAGCTTTAGTAACGAGTATTTCAAAACATAGTTCACAGTTTTAAGAAGATCTGTGCTGATTTAAAAACTAGATTCTATATCATTTGAATGTCACCTTTTGTATATGATATCTATTTGGAAAAAAAATATTTACACTAACTTCTATGGCTGATTTGTTAGATTATTCTGAAAGAAACATTCCTAAGTTACACATTAGCCCTAAATTAGAGATTTTTAAAATTGTCATTATTAATTATATAATTATTATTGTTTTAGTACATTTTGTATAAGTCTTAATTTCAAGACTCGCAAACAAATTGCAAATATAAATCCGGTACTTTGATTTTTGGGCTACTAGATATATACACTCAGGAGTATAATCATTCAGTGTTAATGCGTAATCGCTTTTTATTTCTTCCGTGGAAAAAAATGTACAGTGTATAGTAAACCAATCTACTAAAATCTCAAAGTATTCAGAAATCAAATTTCTATCTATAAACAGTACTGTCATTGTAAACTGAACAGGTTCAATATCATGTGCAAAGGGTTTATGTGAGTTATTAATACTGCCTTCCTTTGTAACAGCAGTATGCACTTCAGTCTGTACTCTTCACTGGTAATGAGCCATGTTACAGAAGATGTAGCTAATATAAGTTAGCTTTAAACGAAAGTCTTTTGTCAAAACACACATCTACAAACTACAACTCTTAGAACAAAAGTACTGTGCTACAGTCCTCAGAACTTAGTTATGTGATTTTTTTGTCAAGAGACGCTGCACCTCTTGGTTCCATTCTTCTGTGAAGTTTGCAGCTAAGCTTTCCTCATCATCTGTCCGAAAGCAGCTCTCCTCATCGTCAGTTCTTACGTAGCTCTCGTTGTCTGTCTGGCTGCAGCTTGCCTGGTGAGAAATGTTGAGGGAAACTTTTTAAAAAAGAGCCAGTGGAAGACACTGCATGTGTGTACACAGCCACGCAAGCACACCCACAATGGAATGAGAGCAGGCTGCTTGACAGAGAAAGGGAGGAGCTGGCCAACTCTTGTGGCTATGCCTGAAACAGTCAAAAAGAAAAAGTAATTCTGCCCAGGTGAGTCACAGAATTGATCCTAGAGTCATTAAGGTTGGGAAAGGCCACCAACATCTCCTAGTCCACCCACAAGCCCATCTCCCCCATATCAACTAACCCATGCCCCTCAGTGCCATATCCACACGATTCGTGAACGCCTCCCTGGGCGGCCTGTGCCACTGCCTGACTGCTCTTTTGGAGAAGAATCATTCCTAACATCCAACTTGAACCTCCAGTGGGACAACTTAAAGCCATTCCCTCTCATCCTACTGCAGTTAACTGGGAGAAGAGGCCGACCCCAACTCACCATAACCTCCTTTCAGGTCATTGCAGAGAGCGATAAGGTCTCTCCTGAGCCTCTTTTTCTTACCATGGTGAGAAGACTGCTTTACATGTAGGATACAGAGGTAACTGACATTAACACAGATTAGCAGATTTTTCATTTCCCCTCCCTTTTTACTCTTACAGCTTTCTCTGAAGCTAGACTACTGGCAGCCAACCATGGATTATTCCCCTTAAGCACAGGGTCCTGAGCCACTCCATTAACAGCCACTTGCCAGTTCCCACCACAAGCCTCCATTTGTAAAAATGTCCTACCCTCATTTAGGCTTGGGTATATTTTACTATGTCTAAGAAGAAATGCAGTTACTTTGGAGGGCAATTCTGGGAGCAACACATCATAAACATCCCAGTTCACTGGCACACCAGTTCATTCTTCTGTTGTGTCCTGAAGAACAACTAAACATCTTATTCAGCTGATAATGAAAAACGCTTAATAGGCAACCTGGCTCCCCTGAACTACATCAGGACCTGCAACCATTTTCTTTTGGCATATCTACTCCAAAGGCACTGTATTCTCATCCCTTTTCAGAAATAAGGAGCTCATCCTTTTTCTCTTGATCTGTCTCAGAGCACCAGTTCACACTGCATGAGATCTGATAGTAACAGCATAAAAGACCAAACCCTACTGACATGAATTCTTTTCTACTCAGTTCAGGAATAAAGCTGGTCTACCAGATGAGAGAGGAAATGCAAATGGTTTCAGCAAAGAAGGATTAAATGAAATCTGATGAATCAAGAAAGGTCAGGTAGTTTAGCTTACTTCTTCTTCCTGGCACCATTTGATTGTATTAATTATTCAAGCACAAATGCTTCCACCCGATTCCTCAATATCTAAGCGTGTCAAATGGTATGATGATCTTAATTTAGTATCTCCGTGTGTCAGGCAGTTACAAAAGACCTAACATTAACATTCTGTTGATGAATGAAAAGGAAACCTGCATTGCAAGTCTAATGAGGGGTTCACAAAGAATTTCTGACGTGTATTTTAAGCAATTGTTTTTAAAAATCAGGCATGCATCTGCACCACCTAATTGTGCAAACTAATTTGGAAAGCTTCATAAATGAACATTTTGGTCTTTACACTACAGCCAGAAAACACAACCAAAAGCCATGGCATAGGTCAGTTCTCAGCTGTGTGAGACTAACTGTTATTGAATCAATGTAAAAGTTATGTAAATATAGGTACATTTCATACTTCGTGATGGAATCATTATAACCATAAGTGCAAAGCAGGAATGGCTTGTGGAACGTTGGAGCATGAAGATGCATTGATAGTACTGACGAGAAGCTGGTTTTATTTCTAATTTTCTGGATAAACTACTTTTTGAGTGAGTAGAGGGTTTTTTACATTCTTTCATGACTTGTCTCTGTTTCACATCCAGCACTGTGATAGAGAGGCTCCCATAAAAGTAAAAATGAGCACTGATGAACCTCACAACTCTAATTTCATGGCAGCATTTTGGGTATGCCAGAATTAATTCCTATTTGTCATACTATAAAACTGTTTCTCAGTCTTTTTTATAACTGAATCCTCAAGTTCTTAACTGCTACGTATCATTCAGAGATTTTCAAGAAACATCCCTGCCACTTGTGTGATTTTAAAACTAAATTAAAAGAACTAAAGTTGCTTCTTCACAGTTAACTTGGTCAAGTCTTCTTGCAGCTTTTCTACACCTACATGCTAAGAAGAGGAGGATTTAAGAAGAAAAAATAAAGAGGAGACACAAAATATAGCTCACAAAGTAGCATACAGTTTTAGAAGTGCTGTGCTGCCAGCCTCCTGTTATTTTCAAGTGGGATGGATCACATAATGCTGTTTTTAACGCATTTCTTCAGTAAGAAAAAAATCAAACCAAAAAAAAAAAGAGACACCGAATCAAATGGCTTTGCTAGTGGGTTATGCCTTATTGATGTGATCAGTTCACCCAGGGTTTGTAATCTGCATCTCCATCACTGCATCACTGACTTATGAAGACAGGACTGAAGAAACTGGGCTTGCTTATCCCTAGGCAGGGGCAGAAAGGGAGGTTTGGTTAGCATCTGTCTGAAGGGTAGTTACACGGTAACAAAGCCAAAATCCCCTTGATAGTGATAGAGTATACACAAAGACAAATTGCATTTCGGGTGGTTTGGCTGGATTTTGGGGTAATCATGAGGAGGGAGATGCTGCACTGGCACAGGATGCCCCAAGAGATGATGAAATCTCCACCCAGGGAGGTCTTCAAGCTTTTGACAGACAAAGTCAAGCCTGATAGGAGCTCATGCTGGAACTGAGCCTCCAGAGGGCCCAACCAAACAGAACACTTGCACCTCCATGAGCTCCTGAGCTTCTGGCTTGAAGCCCACACTAGGAATGAGCCCTAATGCATGAGCTTTAAATCACAGAACCACAGAATGGCTTGAGTTGGAAGAGACCTTAAAGATCACCTAGTTTCAAACCCCCTGCCATGGGCAGGGTTGCCAATCACTAGAAGCAATCAGTCAGCTCTGACTGGCAGTGTTTGGGACCCTGCAGCTGAAAACAGGTCAGGGCACGGCTGGGAAATGTGGTGAAGAGCTCAGGCAGTGGGCACAGCAAATGTGAAAACGAGACATCCATTAATTGTGGGCCAGTAACCTAACTTGGACCTTGGGCTACAGGTCCTTCATTTCATCTTTCCCAAACAGTAAATGGCCAGATCTATATCAGAGGGCTGAAAATGTCAATGGCCTGTGAAATGCAGGTTTGCTCTCAAATCTTACATCTTGCCCTGAAAAAAAAAGATACAAAACTGTTATGCTTCCATAGCACTTAAACAAATAATCTATCACACTGTGTCCCTTGGCTTAACCAGCAACCCTTCTCTGGTGAGCAACAGGCAGGCTGAACTGACACACTATCTCCCAAGACCTGTGGGTTTTCTCAACCGGTGTTCAGCAATATTTATAATCACTGCTGATAAACATGAGAACAGAGTTGGAAAAAAGGGAAAAGGTGAGAAAAATTTAATAGTGCTACTCACAAAAAATTTTCCTGTCCTGGAAAAACAGTTGAATAAACAATTATTCTTTAGCAATGTCTTCTTAGCAAAAAGTCGAGACGATTTGGGGGTTTTATATTTGAGACATTTCTGCCTGTTTCCATACTAACCATTCAATCACCTCTACAATGGAAAATGTCAACCCTAGTCACCCGAGCAGGTAAGATAATGCCGAAGTTACATTTTGAGACCTGCCTAGTGCTGGCTCAGGACAAGCTTAAATTCATTCTGCTATTCTATTAAGAACAAACCAAGTGCTATTCAAGTGCATTTAACATACAAAATGATCTCAAAAACATGATTAAATTATATTTTATGTATTACTCGAACCACTTATCTCTTGGGATCTTATTATACTAGATTATACTTATTATACTACTATATGCTTTTTCAAAAATCAATTCTGGAGAATTGAACATTAGCACTTTCAAAAAATCAAATGCAAACAGAGCACAAAAAGCCTTTATCAATTGACATCAACATTGCTTATCCATGACTGATAAATAAAGAAATGAACAGAAGCCCGTGGCTGGCCATCAGTGGCAATGTCACTCATATGATGCTGTAATAAATTGACATGGTCCCCTCCCATTTGGCTTTCTGTCTCATACATACAGGCAATACACTATTGACTGTGTCATTATTGATTGAACAATACAATCTTTGAAGTAATAGTCTTGATGCAATTTGTAAACTTCAAGTAAGAGCCCAACACAAACAGCATAGGCATTTCAGACATTCTATCTGGTATGAACAATTATTTTTCCATAACTACAAAATACTGCTACTGAATAAAATGTGCACGATACAAAAGTCAGTTATTCATAATTGCAATTAAACCCAGCAATTAAACCCAGCTATATATAACATTTCCATTACACACACAGTTTATATGTACATTATTTCTGAAAGACCTATTTCCCTTTTCAAGCAACATGATCTGTAACTGGCAAGTGCAACAAAATAAAAGAAGAAAACTTGCTTTTCTGTCTGTCTGTGTTTAGGAAACTCTACTCAGCTCACATTTTTTACTGGACTACCAAAAAAATGAATGTAACCCGAGGGGCAACATTAGGAGAAAATTTTACATGCAGTTATTTGGTGTTTATAGTACTCTGGGTATTGCTGTTTGTTTTTCACATTCATTTATTTTGCTTTAGCTGTTAGAAACTCTGAGACAGATGCTTCAGAAAAACCTAACGACTTTTAACACTCAAGACTGGTGGCTGCTTTACCAAGGCCCACAGTTTCACATTCAGATCATAGTACCACCAGAACTTGTAAAACTCTTGAAGTAGGGTCAAATTCTGCTATCAAAACTGCCATCTAAAGAAGAGTTTCAGCCCTTCCTGAAATTCTGGCAGCTCCAGCATAAAACACAGCAACCAAAACGCAACAAGATGAATTCCTGCTATAGCTGGCACAGTGCAGCCTGCTGGTTTTGCTGATCTGAATGTCACCCTGCTTCCACCACCGACTGATGGGGGACCTCTCACTGCAGGGGACTGCACTTTTCCTTGGAAGTCAGAAAAGCAGACCACAGCTTCAGATGAGGCAAGCAGTAAGCCTGCGGTCTCCCATTTCCCAGGGAAATGTTCAGAATAACAGGCTCCTTCGTAAAAATAGTCTTTGTCTGAGTTTCCAAGTAAAAACACAACTGCTGAATTTGGCACTAAACTCAGTGAGGGTGACGTGTGAAGAACATGACCTGAAAATGGGCCAACAGGGAATTTCTAAACTATCCTGCTTTATCTCTGAATTGCCAGACTTTAGCTAGTACGTGGGTACCTTGCACTTTGTATCAGAGCACTTTAAACCTCCACAACGCATCTGAAGACACCTCTACAGTTAAGCAGCTGGTGGATTGCTTTCTTTGATGTTTGCCTAACTCCTGTTTCCCACGCTACAGCAGATGTTCTGGTTTCGCCAGAAATGATTTATTTTGGTTATACTAGGAAGACTCAACCTTTGTAAGAGTTAAACTCAGGTCTCCTGAAATGTACTCTGATTTCTTATCTTCTGTATATACTTTCTCTGCACTGGCTAGTATACTTGTCATCGACTCCAGAGATGAAAACTCTGCAATCTCACTCCTGTGGCCAACAAATGGAAAAGATGAAAAGTGTGATGGTGTATCGTGAGTCTTTGATTCCACGACCATATTTCAAATGAGTTATTAGAAATGATTCGGTGACATTCCTAGGCATTCTAATACAAGTTAAAAGAAGAAAGAAACAGCATTATCACATACACTCAGTAGTATACAAGGTGTTCTGCAACTAAAATACGTTAGGAGGATTCGTTCCAAACATTCTTCTAAATTATAATGATACTTACTTGAGAGGAGAGAGAGAAGGATATTGCACTCAACTTTGCAAACTGACCTGCATAACAAAGGATAGAAAACAAGAACATGACAAATTAAGCCAGTGAGCAGCCAGGTAGTGTATTATTCTGAAGAAAGCCATGCACAAGCCTAGAAATAAAGACTGTAATTACGGACTTGGAAAGCAAACCCAATGAAAAGTGCCTTACACAACACATTCAGCAAAAGATTTTAACAAGGACACAACTGCTAACAGATGTGGGAGCATCAGCACTGTTAGCACTTACACTTGTGCACTAAATGTGATTTTTCTGGTACAAATAGTTGTTATTTACAACATGCTTCAGAAAAAGAGAGAAAGAAGCCTCCTTTGAGGTTCCCTGCTCCAGGTTCCCTTGTGCATCCTGAGTGTTCTGCTCACTTTACTAATTTTGAGTTTTGCTTGAAAATGTTGCTTGAAGACAAGGTGACACAAAATAACAAGAGTGGGTTTTGACCAACCGTTTTCCATGCAAGGCTACATCTACACGTTTTTCTAAATGTGCTGCTTTTACAAAAAGTGAGATATTTAATAAAGTAAGAACAGTTGCCATATTGTTACCGAGGTTACCATTCTGTAACCTCAGTAGGAGTTCTCCCTTGCAGATTATCTCAGCTGACAATTGCATTATGACAGCTACAGCCACCAGTTATTTTTTTTGCTATTCAGATTAATTCAGTGTACAAATGAGTACAAACAGCAAAATAGCCTGCAATAAATTTCAACGGCTGGATGCACAAGGAGAATAGTTCACCTGACCACTGTTCCATAGGATACCCTAAAACAATAATTTTCCAGTTTTCTTTTATTTTTACAAGTGGAAAGCAAGCCATGGCTTTGTCTTCAGGAAGTACCAGTGACAGCAGCGGAAAAAGGAACAGCATAACAACATACCACAAATTAACTGCGAAGCACAGAGAGCAAGCCAAAGCAAAAGTGCATGTCTCAGGAGCGATAGGTGATGTTATTCAACCACCTCCCAGTCATTCTAGTGGTTGCTACTAACTTCATACACAATTTTGCTTGCTTAAACATGTTACATAATCAAAAGGGCATCAAATATTGTAGAAAGGATTCCTCATACACACTGCATCCTTCGGACCTGTGATTATCAACTAAAAATAGTTTCTACTTATAAGTTACTGCTATCAAATAATTGCCTGATAGCAGCTGACAACCTGATAGACAGTGGAGTACAGTATGAAATTTCTTCTGGAAAAATTTTCTTAAATGGAACATGTCTAGAGTAAGGATTTTCTATTGCCTCAGTGAACACATTTCTGTTCATCTTGGTGTAGTCTTGGCTCACCTATACTCAAGAGGAGTTTTATTCTGACATCATCAAGGAGATCTCCTCCCCTTCTGTCAGTGTTGTTGAAAGACAGTAGAAAAACTATTTTTGACTGAAGCAAGAGTAACATCCAGGTCTATTTAGCAACAGTTGCAACTCCTACTACATAAGGAATACCCTTATTTTGCATTATACTCATGTATTCAGTTTTGTGCATATACAAAATGTAACTTATATGTCATGTAACACTGTTACTGTATATTGTACTTCCATAGTGTGATCAAATATCGATCAAATTGGCCTAATTTCCTACCTTGGATTAAAAGAAAAACATGACAAAAAACCCCCCGTATCATCCACTGTTGCCTTAGCATATATATCCCATAACAGTACTGCTGCTGCTGCCACCATGTCCTTAGCAACCTTTGCAACTAAATGAGTTTTGGCAAGTTACCATGAGCCTGTAGCAGACTGAGGTAAACAAGCCCCCAAAAGATGCTCATCAACCTCAAAATTACCTGCAATTTTGATATGAGACAATGAACTTTTTAAGAACAATTAATTCTAGCAGCTTTGCAGAAGAGGCAACTACAAGAACTGCCATTTTTTATTAGACCAAGAGCATGTGAGTCCCAGAATCTTGTATCCAAAGTGACCATCAGAAAACAGAAAATCTACCAGCACATCTCCCATCTAGAAAGTGCTTTTGAATACGATTTCTGTACAGTTGGTCTCTCTGTATCAGCTAAATCCTTTTTTTTTTTTTTAATTTTTTTTATTTTTAACATTTATATTTCTGGTCTCTGTTACACTCTATAGGTGAGATCCAAATTTTAATTGACCACCATATGGGAAAATACTTATTCTTGCTTGCTTTAAACCCGCTCCTTAGTGACTGAATTGGGCATGCCCTAATGGAAACATTACTACTATCATTATTACAAGATATGAGTTTCATATTAGTATAATCCAAATCAGAATAACTTAAAAAATTGTGATAGTTTATTACAGCAGGCAGAAGTGGAGACTGCTGCACAGGCAGGACAGGATATCTATGGGATTCCAGGCCCCTCTGTCAAATTAGCTTTTCTTGGATTCTCAAACAAACGCCCTTTGAAAGCTTCCTCAGGGGGTATTTAATGACAAGTCCCCAGGCTCCACTATACTAGATGCTTGTTGAATACTCAGTTCTCTAGGATATAATTCATTCCAGACCCTCTCCCTCCCTTCCAGATTCTGAAAATGACCATGACACACAGACTGTATTTAAGCTTCAGTTCACAGTGGAGAAACCATGATGAATGTTTTCAACTACTGGAGGAAAACAAAATCTAAATATAACAAGAGCTCAGCTTAATACCATGAACCAGCCTCTGTGGTATGGAGTGTGGAGGTCTAAGCGACGTAGGGGGAACTGGCAGAGAACAAGCTGAGAGGTAATTCTGGCCCACCTGAGGGCCTTGGTAAGGATAAGGGCTACTCTTGTGTGCCTCAGGTGTGGTCCTTCTGAGCAAGCACAGAAGCTAGATGCACACATGCCTACAGGAGAGAACAGCAGCAGTTTTCAGAATTTTGTAGTTTCTGGAAAGGCTGAGAGACCTGAGTCTACTTAGCCTAGAGAACAGAAGACAGGAAATCTGATCAATGTTTATAAATATCTAAAGTGTGGGAGTTATCTGGATGAGGACAGACTCCTTTCAGTGGTGTGTAGTAATGCAACATGGAGCAATGGTCAAGAATTGGAACACATGAAGTTCCACACAAATATGTGGAAGAACTCTTTTACAATGAGGGTGACAGAGCACAGGAACAGGCTGCCCAGAATGGTTGTGGAGTCTCCTTTGGAGATGTTTGAGATCTGTCTGGATGCCTACCTGTGCAACCTACTGTAGGGAACCTGCATTAGCAGGGGGTTGAACATGATGGTCTCCGGAGGTCCCTTCTAAGCCCTGCAACTCTGTGATTCTTTGAACGTGGCTGTTCTAGTAACTGAGAAGAGATTACACCCTAGGGCCCAGGACAGGATAAGAAGGGCTCTGGGAAGCTCTGGTATATAATTATTTCTTGTTTATGGAGAGGTATGGTCAGCTCCTTTTCCCACCTGGTATGCCTCATCCTGCAGCTTCTGCTTCAGGTACTCTTCCATCTTCAGTTCATTCTCCAGCTGGCGGACAGAATCATTCTCATAATTTTCATCATCTGCTCTGACAAAAGGATCTCCATCTTCTGTAACCCTAAAGACAATTATTCATAAACAAGCTCCTGAGATGAATGACATTCAAAATGAATACAACCTCCCTTTATTGTAAAGTTTGAGGACAGCAGGATACCTTTGCTCCAGCCACATGCACCACCAGGTAATAATAATGTCCTGGAAGTGGAAAACATTGCTGTTGTTTGCCCTCTCCAGTGGTCTTGTATTGCTGAAGTAGACCACAGGGCATATTCAGCTGAAGGTGTTTTGGGGATATGGAAATCAGTCCTCAGTAATTGCTTTGAGAGTAAAACAAAGAGTAAGAGGTTGAACTAAAAATAACTGGAAAGATGCCTATTGATAAGATTCTGGTTCTAAAAATAAATTGGTTTGTTGATCAATTTAGTTGGTCAATAAAAAAGCATTCTGTCTTCCCCAGAAAAAAAAACAATTTCTTTTGTCATCGTGCTCCAATAGGCTCTTAGGTCTCGATAAGCAGGGATCGGGACTGCAGAGCATATATGATTAAGGGACACAGCTGTCCCACAGTCTCCACACTACCTGAGTGTCCTAGAGTTGACAGGAGATAGCTCACACCTGAAGGCATCTTAAGCTCTGGCCTTTCAAGTGTACTTGAAAGCAATAACTTACTACTGTCTATTCATAAAGCTGTCCTCATTTGGATTTAGGCTTTTTTGTGTATTCAAATAGTTGAGAGGGTGAGAAAATATGCTGCATTGTCTGCAGCAGAAAAAGAGTGAGAGAACAAAGGTGAATTGAGCAGGTACCCACATGTCACTGCGCATGGATCCAGTGGCAGCAGCACTGTGGATGTACCCTGGCTTCCGGGCATGGATCTGTGCAAGGAAAGCCTTCTCAGATGTTGGAGATGGAACGAGGTCATCAAAATGAGTCCGTCCAAATTCAGAATCCACGTTGCTTTCTGTCTCGCTGCCCACTTCTGTGAAACCAAATTTGACAGATGTTTCCATTTAACTTTCACAAGATCAAGTCTACTTCCAGTCTACTTCTCTAAACCTTTCTCTGTCTCTCCAGCTTAGGGTGGTCATCTCATCATAGTGAATGCAGTAGAATATAGTAGAATATGTTTCTGTAGACTTAATGTTCTTCATCTTGTGGTGGGACAGGATAGTGAAGCTTTTGCTTATTTGGCTTATTAGGTAGGATATTTTTATGAGTACACTACCTACTGCATTTTACAGAAGTTCCTATACATTCTATATTGAATGAAATTTCCAAAGACTGAAATCTCTCTTCAGTGCCACCCCAGTCATCTCTCTAAATGCAAACTTCCCTTTATGGAATGGAAAGTTGCCATCAATCAGGGCGCTTTCACAGCCACTGATAAAGTTTCCTCTCAGGTACAATTCCCTGACAAGGCCATTTCCCTAAGAAACAAGGGCCAAACTTCTCCATGAATTTTCGTTGCATTCATCTGTGTGTTTACAACCACGGCTTTCAAAACCCCTGAATTCTGAAGCTGTTATTTGGAGACTTCTTTTTCTATAAGCAAAGAAACCTTTGAAACTACCTTTGAAACTTTTGTACTGCTTTCTTTATTGGTCTATATGCTCCTAGCTCTAATTTTTTACAAATATATACAAAATACCAATGTGTTGACTATCCACCCTCTTCAGCCTCACTCACCAGAATTTAGTTCTTTTACCAAAGACGACATTGTGTTGGTGATTGAATCTGCTGCTACCAGCAAATCATTTCTTAAGTTTCGTCTTGCACCTGAAGCAAGAGACAGACAAAACAGTGTTAATATTCTTCACAAGACATATGTTTTCCTGTTCAAAGCAGTTTTAACCCTGCTGAAAGCTGCCATTGTGATGATTCAGGGTATCAAAGACCTTACGAGGGACACGTGCAGAAGAGTTCTCTGCAGAATGGCCTCATTTACTCATGCTGTATGCAAGAGCAGAAGCCTACCCTCATGCTTCATTTAATCACAATGCCAGATATGTGGAGATTATTCATTGCCATCAAGCTTGCATTTGTGCAGTGACACCAGCAGACCAGGCCTGGAAGATTAAATCCAGCGTGAACTCATTTAAAATGTCTGTGGGGAAGGAGGAAAGAAATGAAGTGTTTTCTATAAGTTCCCACAGTTCTGTTTAATGACACCATTATTGCTAGGTATTTGCCAGATAATTACGGCAAATGTTGAAGAAACACACTTGACCTCATCAAGATTTATATGGATTTTCCTTCTCTGCTTCCTCTCAGCTTCTGCTCTAGCTGAAGGATTTTTCTGTATATTTCATAATTTACTTTTTTTTTTTTTTTTTTTTAATAAAAGAAGCACTATTGCCTCTCTTAACAGCCCCAGGCTGCTTTTAAACTCTTTTTAATAATGAATCTAGAAGTGCTTCCCTGCTGGACCTGGCAATATTCCCTTAATCATCAATCATGAAGGATTCTTGTGAGCTGCATGAAAAACTCCTTCCCTAGGAGCAGGCTGTTGGTAACGCATGGGGGGTTCACTCCCCCAGATCCCAAACATAGCTCCTATTGTGGCTGTATAATCAGTATATCCCACAGAACCTCTAATCTTCCAGACTGATTTATTCACAGGAACTTGCAGGATTCAATTGCTGTAGATTCTTCAGAATGGGCTGAATGTAAAATAATACCTTTTAAAAACTCCAAACCCTAAGGCCTTTTCCTATTCCTTTTTTTTTTAAAAAAAAAAAAATATATATATATATACTGTTGTTAGCAGACGATTCCTGGAGTGTAAATCAAAGTGGTTAATCTCTCTCTCACACACACAGGAACACTCAGACATCCACTCCCTCTCTAAAGTTGTCTTGGATTTGTATCTATGGCAAACTCCACAGCGAAAAAAAGCAAGAGAAATGGTGCTTTAACCATGGCTTGTGTGCATTACAAGACAAGGATATGGACACAGGTCTCTGCTGGTGCAGTGCAGAATGGAGCACAATATGTCAAGATGTGACAGAGTGGCTGATTTCGGGTTCTGTGGTTTTGACCTCTCTGCCTAGGGAATGTGGTCAATGACATAAAGCTAGATATTCATCAAATGCTGCAGTTTTTAAACGTGATCACTTAACTTTTTTTACTGCTTTCTTTCTTGAATAAAACACATTTATGTACTTTAAGAACATCTGCCTGGGGCAAATTAGTGTTATTTATGGATAAATTACTGCTGCCACTATCTTATTTCTCACAGTCTTAACTCTGGAAGAAATTACTTAACAACATCATTGGAGTTAGTGGCCAAATTTTTGCCTCTGTCATTTTTTTAAAAATTTTTTTTCACAGCAGAAAAAGGAGAATATGTCTTGATTGTTTCTTTTCTCACAGAAAATGAGATATCCATCAACCTGGTGTGCTGGAATTAGGAATTACACCTAAATAAAACATGAGCAATATATGAACTGACTAGCATTTTAGTAGAAAGTTCTTCATTGCATTATAGATTTGACCTTGCTGTAAGATACAGAGAGACAGTGCTCAGAGAAGTGCAGGGGTAGGGCTGCATGAGTGCTGAACTGGGTTCTTAGGAACAAACACACACTCACTCTAGCAGGGGAACTAGAGAGTCCTGCTTACAATTTCACTTATACTACTGAAACAGGGCAAAAGAATTGTTTAAATAAAAGAACTGCAATGAGGTAAATATTTTAGAATAAAGCAGATTTTTAAAAAAGAAGGAATTATTTCCTCATTTGGGTCACATGGGCTATTTGCTTTCTTTTGCATTCAACATAATCACTTAACCTGTGGCCTTAGAAATTCGAAACAGTTGAAGATGTATTGCCACTTGACAAGACAGTCGAACGAGAAATGAGAAACACAGTGTAGCCTACAGCAGTATTAAAAAAAAAACAGAGGAAGGGCTCACTGAGATTTCCCAGCTCAGTTCCTGTTTAGTCTAGTCAGACCTTCTTAGAGGCACAAAGCAAAAGGGCAAGGGACAACAGCCATAGGTTGCATCAAGGGACACTCAGATGCAAGGACAAAATATTTACGTAAGAGACAAGGTCAAACACTGGAGCAGAGGCTGTGGAAGATGCATGATGGGAGCTGTCTGGAGCTCAGCTGATAAAAGTCCTGAACAACTGCATTTTGCTTTGAAGCTGGCTTTCTTGGGGCAGGATGTGTGGCCAACAGAGCTCTTCTTACCTGAACTAATTCTATGGTTGTAGCATATATTCTTCAGCAGTCTTCATGTAAAAAAACCATACTGAAAATATACCTTGCTGAGGTCAGTGACAACTCTTCTTATTCTGGTTAATAGAATTCATTAAATGGCACAGTGTCCAGTTTCTGCTTACCTGCCTGCCTGGAAAGCAAGGTGTGACAGCTGACAAAGTCAATATTTGACAGTGAAACACAACTGTGGATTCATAGAATCATAGTCTCATTCACTGAGGTTGGAAAGGAACTCTAAGATCATCTAGCCCAACCATCAGCCACCCACCCCCACCATGCCCACTAACCACGTCCCTCAGTGCCACATCCACGTGGTTCATGAACACCTCCAGGGACGGTGACTGCACCACCTCCCTGGGCAGCCTGTGCCACTGCCTCACTGCTCTTTTGGAGAAGAAACTTTTCCTAATATCCAATCTGAACTTCCACTGGGACAACGTAAGGCTGTTCTCTTTTCATCCAATCCCAGTTAGCTGGGAGAAAAGGCCAACATCCCCTTCGCCACAATCTCTTTTCAGGGGGCTGTAGAGAGCAATAAGGTTTCCCTTAAGCCTTCTCTTCTCCAAACTGAACAATCCCAGTTCTCTCAGCTACTCCCCATAAGACCTGGGTTCCAGACTCCTCACAGCTTCGTTGCCCTTCTCTGGACACACTCCAGGGCCTCGATGTCTTTCCTGTAGTGAGGGGACCAAAACTGAATGCAGTACTTGAGGTGCTGCCTCACCAGTGCTGAGTACAGAAGGGAAGAATATTTGTTTTGTTTTACTGCATGCATCTTAGAAGTCCGTCAATCATTAACCACACAAACAGCCATTTTCAAATAATTTCCAAGTACCTCAGACAAGCTCCTAATGAGACTTACTTTGTGCAAAGGCTTCCTGCACATCTCCTCCCACCCCAGTCAGAGAGTCCTGAGGTGTGTGGGTGGGTGTGGAGCAGGCAGAGGCAGATCTGATAGGCATCGGGATGGGTCGGCTGATGGTGTGGCTAGGCGAGGAGCGGGGGGAGCCTGCCCCTTGGGTCTGCAAAACAACCAAGCACAGAAATGGGTCCTCGTGAGAGCCCTCGTCCTCAGCTCAAAGGCATCGTGCTCTTTGTAGGCGGGCTGTGTAAAAAAATCTAAAAAGAAATGCACTGGAGTCAGTTGTTTGTTTGCAGACAGCAATGCTCCAGTGTAGAAAAATAGTAAGTAGGAAAACATGAGTGAAGATCTGACTTTCTGAAAACATGGGAAAATGTCAGGCAGCTAAATTAAAAAAAAAATTAAAAAAAAAATCCATATTAATGAACATCAAAGCATAGGCCTGATCTCTGCCCTGACTCACTTCCCCCAGTTCACATGCATGTGTTGTAAAACATAACTGATTTGCACTGTGAGAAGGGGAGTGATGCTGCACAGAGGACATCAGGCCCTCCACCTCCTCACAGAGTCCCATCAGGCCTGGGCAGCCTCTCGGCCACATGGAAGCTGACATGCTCAACAATAAAGCCTCAGGCCTTTCATTTGGGTCTAGAGAACTATTTTAAGCCACTCCTAAATCATACACCTCTAAATTGTTTACTGGAAGCTTACATGTTTTCACATCAGCCATATAAAATGTCATGCTGTTAGCACCTCGCCGTTAGTATCACTTAGTTGAAATTCAAGCAGACTTTACAAAACAATAATTTTTACCAGGGTGAGTGATGCCAAGAGACACGGTGCCCTTTTCTCTGACTGTTTCAGAGCCCCTGGGAATGCACGTCCACATAAGGAAAAATGAATGTCCAAGCCCACGCCAAGCTGCACACATCCTTAATGACTGAAATCCTGGCGGATGGAGGTGGCTGGAGAACTTTTACACAGTGACTATAACACGTACCCCAGTTTACAGCAAAAAGTAACATATGTGCTGTCTCTCCCTTCCCTCATGTTCATTCCGAGAATTTTAAAGGATTTCTTAAGTATTCCCATGCCATTTCTGTTGACTCCTGTAGTGGCTGCCACAGTGGCCCAGAAAAGGGTTGGCAAATATATTCTAAGAAAAGACAGTGGCAGTCCATAATGGAGAGAAGGCAGCATTGCCCTTGAGATTTTTATAAATTCCTGCCCCTAATCATAAATGATGTATCAGAATACTAAGCTATTTGTTCATTTCTATCACCCCCTTCTAAGAGACATTATCACCAGAAAGACATCAAGGCTTATGAGGAATAAGCACATTACTGATGGAAGAATAAAGGATTTAATATATAAAATTTCTCTAATGATCGGTTTTAGAACATTTAAATGATAGATGAAAGAGAAGTCAAATACATAATGGCCAGATGCTCTCCTGTTTCTGCAATCAGCCGTCCCCATAGAAGTAGCAATACTGATCTCTGGTCCAGAAGGAGCTGAGCAAAAAGCACCCTCGAGATGCTTCAAGGTTCTTGGAGGTCACACACCCTGCACAACAGGCAAGGCACCTGGGAACTACATCTTTCATGTCTCAACTCCTCTATCAAACAGATCTGCTAAAGAATTTCTTGTTCCCAGTTCCCTCCTTTGCTTGCTCTTTTTCCTCAGCTCCCCATGGTCATAGTTCTGGGAAACACCAACAGTGGAACTTTCAGAGAATATGAAAAAAAAGGGATGAGATTTGTTTCCTATAACCAAGTCACATTTAAGGAATGAAGTTCATAATAGGCATTTTATTTACTAAAAATAACAGCTGCCTGCCAGTACTTCTTCACTGGAATTTTCCCACAAGGGAAATGTAAAAGCTGCACACCAGTGCTTAGCATTGCATTTGCTTTACAGCTATGGCTGACACCTTGTGTTTATGTAAAACAGTATTTTCTTATCTGAAGCTTTCAGTTTCTGAACAAAGTGTTTGTGAAACATAAAGGAGTGAAGCTTTTGGATCTCACTGTCTAGCTAAAAACTTTTCAATTTTTATATTATTTTGGCAACATCATACAGAAATAATGAAGACAATGCTGAAATAGGTGGGTGCTAGGGAATGCCTGATAAAAGAGAAATAAACGCTTATTCTACTGAGTTTCAGCTCAGCCCAAATTTGTGGGATGGAAGTGTTATTCCTACTTAGTGGCTATCAGGCAAAATGTGGTTTTCATGGGCTGGAGCTCCTGAAACCTGCAGAGACCATCAGCAGCGCTAATTTGACACAGAAATGTAGCACCTAATTGCTCCCGAGGTAGCCAGCCATACCAGCTGAGGTCTAGGGCATGCTGAAAAGAAGCTAGGACAGCGACCACCAAATTGTAGATGACTTCAGGTTTTATGCTGTAATTGGCCGCAGTTGTCACTGTTTTGGTGCCTTTCAGGAAAATCTGTGTTTTAATTAATTCACCACCTCTAGTTAATGTATTAAGGATTTGAAGCTAACCCTTGCTAGACAGGGGAAGGTTTCCCATCATTACGCACTACGCATGCTTAGGAGAAAAGGCACAGAATGAAAACAGGATCTTTGGTGCACTGCTCCCTCTGCCGGGGCTAGCAGCGATCACAGATGTGAAAGTGTCCTGCAGCCTCACCAGGTGGTGAAGAAGCTACACAGACATGAAGAACTCGTTATCCTTTCTCAAGGAGGGGCAGCAGAGAAATAGAAAGTTCATAAGTGTTAGATGATTTGCCAGATGGCTCATCCCAATTGAATTCATCTAGAAATTAATTTAATCTTGTTTCTCTCAACAGATCATGAAATGGCACTGTGTAATGAGTATAATTGCATGGAAACTTAGAGTAATTCCTGAGCACCATCACCTCATATTCAGCATGGCTATTACTCCGTGAAGAAAAACTCATATCCTGTAATAGCCCAAAAATGAGTTTCCACTTACACTGTCCAGTGAACATTCTATATGATAGGGAAACTCTTCATGTTGGGAGCCTCTCTTTTGTGAATGGAAGATCCTTTTAACACTGTTACGCAGAACTATATTGATGGCTCTTAAACAGAGGTGATATTTCATAGGATGGCTTGGGATGAAGGGGACTTTAAAGATCAGTATTTGGTCAGATTTTATTTTTGGGTGCCACAGATTGATGCTTCATAAAAATTAGCCAAAACGCAAAACACTAGCTATATGATAAGTACTGCCTATGAACTCAGCATGTTGTATCACAGACAGAAAACTTCAGACTTTTAACCGTATTTCTGCTGATGAAACCTGGAGGAAATGTGCTTTGTCAAAATGCAACACTTCTTTATTGGACTTATAAATCAGACTGCTGTCTGAAAAGGGTGTTTTTCAGCCTAATATTTTTCCAAGACTATTTCCAAATATTTTTCAATGCTAAAAACCTCCAAACCAATGAAATCATCTAAAGTTTAAAACTGCCCTTTCAAACTTAGCTTACAGAAAACAATGTTTTCAATTGAATTTCAAATGAATTCAATTAGCTTTGAATGAATTTCAAATTCATTGTTCTAATGTAAAATCAGTTACATTTTTCTCACAGTCCCAAAGTTATCATTACATTTTCAAAACATTTTCTGTGGTGGAAGTGTTCTTTAATTCATGTGCAAGGTCGCTTTCACATCCTGTTTTTTTATATAAAATAAATGTCCTTATTTAGAAGAGTGAGAAAAAGATCAAGACTCCTTGTAGTCATGACTCACATTCTAAGGGGTTTGATTATGAAAATCGCTCCAACATACTTGAAAATAATGTGTGAAAGAAATGCAAGATATTAATTTTGGTCAAAAGAATATGCACACATTTCAAGCAGAAGAAATAAAATAAATCAGTAAAATAAATCACAAGAACACAATCACATTCAGGAGTTAGTGAGGTCTCCAATAAGTAGGCAACTTACTGCCTGTTTCAATTCTTCTTCCTAAAGAAAAAGAGGATCAGCACATTAGATTAACCAGCACGTAAGTGAGGAATAGAAGAAAAAATGTGGAGTACAAATTTAAGCTAAAGCCACAGTTACTGAGAAAGTGGCCAGGTGATGGTCTGGTCTCTAAGTGGTCTGAAACACAGAACAGTGTAAAGTGTGCAGAAAGCTACTGCAACCTCCTGCTCTATGTTCCTTTTGTTCAGGCAGTGCAATGACAGCAGGCTGACCTGACCACTAGTTGCAGCTGCAAAGCATTTCACGGATGGAGGGAAAAGTATCTCATCTAATCCTGGCTTGCAAAAATCTGCTGGGTGTTTGGTTGGCTTCCGTGCTCAGATGTCACCAATGCACTGTGGCTGCAGAAGACCATGTGAGAAGAGATGCAAACAACTCAAGGGGTCCAACATCATTTAATGCAAATACATGCTGCTTAATGGATTTCCTTGAAATTCTCTCTGCTTTTATCAGAGCCACATTTGACCCAAGCTGCACTGAATTTTCCACGTGCTCAATAAATCTGGCATAGCAAAAAAGAAAACACTCTCACGCCATTTAGAATTCTTCCTTTCAACATGAATTTCTGGCATTGTTTGTGCTGAGGCACAGCAGAAAAATGGAGCTAGACTCAAAGAAAGATGCACTTTCAACCTTACTCTAGCCTCTCTTAAAAGTGCATATGTTTTGATATTTTGATACCTCAGCTTTTAAGTGAGATCCTTTCTTGAGGTATGTTTCATCTCGTTAACACAGGCTTGTTTCTACATTTATGAAGATGATCAAGTGTTACTTGGGAAGTACTTTCAGAGACTGATAGACTGAAGTCCAGAAATGCTGTCAAATCCTTCTGCAAATGAGCAAAACAGGACTGTATAGCATTGTGCTATACTGTTATTCAAATGACTGTGTTATTTATTCCATAGTATGGAGCCTATCTCTACTGTTTCATCCATTTAGCAGTAGATGACAATGATGATCTGTTATTGCAGGAACACCATTATCTGGTCATTATTTAAAAGCCTTGAATTTGAAGATAAAAGAAAAAAAAAAAAAAAAAAAAAAAGCAAAAAAAAAGGAAAGAAAGGGAAGGTCAAAGAGCCAAGCTGCCAAATTCTATCATGAAAATTGCCAAGTTCTGCAGAATCCTGCACTCATCTCTCCTTTCTGTCAAAGGAAAGGGCAGTATCAAGTGTTAGTATCAAGTGCAGTTCCTTACCTTCAGCAGTTTCATGAGGCCTTCTAACTGAACCATAAGCTCTCTTCGGCTCTCCTGGAGAGCAGACATCCTCTGTTCCAGCTCGTCCTTCCGCTGTCTGAGAAACAAGCAGATACAATCAGACCTTAGCCCTCAGCAGCTTTTAACCACATTCAGTGCCTAGAAAGCAGGGTTATGTGTAGGCTATGGAGTTCCCTCATACTGAGAATGTTCGTGAGGCTGAGTACAGAGATTAGGAAAAAGACAGACATCGACACAGATCCTTCTCCAAAGAGCAAATGGGGTTCAAGATTGTGTACATTTTCCCTTGTGGGAATGCCTGGCAGTGATTTCATTTTTCTATCTGTGAATCTCTCTAGTCAATAACCTCGCTAACTGTCAGGAGAAATTAAAGCCATGCCCTGAAGGGCAGGAAATTACAGCAGGGGCACTGCAGCACAGGGCAAGATACGTGTTGTGTAGTATAAGAGTTCAGAAATTCAGCCAGAAAACCACAGTGAACTGCCTTTGTTCCTATCTTTTCAGAAGCAAGCATAAGACTATCACACAGCAGAACTATAATTGCTTGAAAATAGCTGTTTGGGCTCTAAGTCCAGTGCTAGTCCCGTGGCACTGTGAACACTGGGCCACCTCATGTGTGGCAGCCAGTCTGTGCCCCACAGTCAGCAATAGCTTTGATCCTGTATAGCTCCAGTGCATCACAGGGACGTACAGCACCACATGTTTCACTGACACAGCACTGTACGAGAGGTCTCCAAATGAATACAGTATGGAATTGCTGCCTGCTGGAAGGCAGGATGTAACCAAAACTGTTACTGTTGAAAAAGGTATATCTTGGGTATGTCTTATACATTATCATGCAAATCAAATAAAAACACTATGTTGTTATCTTTGTACTACCTGTAAAACATGACTTTATCCTAAAGGCCTCACCTAGAGTACTGTGTGTTCAGGGCTTGACAATACAAAATGGCTGTTAAGTTACTTAAAAGTGTCCAGAGAACAACAAAGCTGGTAGCAGACTTCTAAGGCATGTCCTGTGAGGAGAGGCTGAGAGCAATGGGTTGCCCAGTCTGGAGAAGAGGAGCCCTAGAAGTGACCTCACCACTCTCTGCAGCTCCCTGAGGAGGGGAAGCAGAGAGGTGCTGGGCTCTGCTCTTTGGGAACTGATGGCAGGATGGGAATGGCAGAGCTGCTCCAGGAGAGGGTCACACTGGGCACTGGGAAACATTTATTTACCATGAAGGTGATCAAACACTGGAACAGACTTCCTGGAGGTGGCTGATGCCCAGTGCATGTCAGTGTTGTAGAGGTGTTTGGATACTGCCCTTGTTAATACGCTTGAGCTTTCGGTTAGCCCTGAAGAGGTTGAGTAGGACTGGACGATCTTCGTGAGTCCCTTCCAACTGAACTAGTCTAGTCCAATTCTATTCTATTCTATTAAGGAAGAACAAAATCAACAAACTAAACATATTTATGTTTCCCATATTTAAGGAAGCATTAAATTCTGATTTGAGACTTCTATTTAAGGTATGTGAGCAGATATTGATATAAATATCATTCATTTCTACAGGTTAGCATGTGTGCTCTCACCTGTATATTAAGACAAGAAGATAACAACTCTGCTAGGTTGTATTTCCTCTTCTGGAGGACTAATTATCTGTGTTGGACCTTCTTTTCCAAGAATGTAATGGCTGGAAATGCTATGATTTGTACAAAAGCTACTGAGTTCAAGAAACTGCCATTAAAAATAAGACATCCACGTAATCCAAAATGGCACATCCTAGGCACATACCTCTGTGGTTTTTTGTTTTTTTTTGGTTTGTTTGTTTGTTTGTTTTTAGATTTAATCTGTGTAGAGAGAGGATCTAAGCAGGGTACAACACAGTGTACAGATGCACAGATTTAAAGTTACTTACTGCTTCTGACACTGCATATTCAATCAGAAAAGATACTGTAGTCAAGGAACTCAGCACCACTGCCCTAGGGACATCCCACGTCAGGAAATTTAAATAAGGTTGTTAAGGTTTTATTAAGTGTGGCAAAATTGAATAGATGTAAAATTAAGTAGTCAATCTGCTAACATTGCACAATCGTTTTGTTTTTTTTAAAGGATAATTTTATTTATTAACTACATAGAAGAAAGCTGACCTCCTAAAACTGTTTAAAATAGAGGTTCAGCTTGATACACAGAAGGAACTACATCATTAGCATGTTTTGTGCAGCGTATCAATTTTCATTGTGCTCAGTTTTATACCTTAAACTCTCACAAAATTATCTTTTGCCTGTGGATATCTAGGAGTAATTACATACTAAGATCACTCAGAAATCAAGAAGCTGTTTGTTTCCAGATTGGAAAGCAAATGTAAGTATTTGTGAAACAGAAAAATATTTTAGTGTGGAAAACGTAACAATAAAACTGTACAGTATTTGTAAATAAAGAATTTAGCATAATTTTCTACAGCAATTTCCTTCAGTTATGAATTAGGGACCAGAAGTATTTCTAGTGCAAGGAGGAAGAGCTACATGGCCAAAAATTTTCTTTAGTCTTCTCATGAGAGAACTGCTGTTTGGGCGAGGGGAATAAAACTTAATCTAGCATTGTTTCACCAGAAAGAAATGATTTACACTCTATTCTCTAAATAGATTAAGTGTTTTGAATAGTTCCCAGCCTGACTCTCACTACACGAACTTTGGGACATACAGGGAGCCTACAGATCTGTACCAATTGTTCTTCTTCAACTTGACATATATGGCAATTAGCATACTTGTGTAGAATACCCTAATTAACAAGCAGACACATCCGTATCAACGTTTTTAGCTTAGTGGGATAATGTGAGAAATGATTCTCTAGGTCCTCAGCTGCGGCAGATGTCGTTATTCCTCCCCGCCCTCACATGGCATGGCGCACAACTCTGCAGCCTGCTTATGCACAATGAAGAGAACTGACCTTTCCTTTGAGTTCAAAGCATGGGGAATTTTCCAAAAATTAACGTCTAACTCTGGCTGTATTTTCATGTAACTCTATATTTACTTTAGCACAGATGAGAAGTCTTTGTGGAAGCATTTGCTCTGACAGAAGAACATTTTTCCCCATATGATTAATGACACTTGGACAAGGCTTTGGGGACCTATTCCAAATGACCTAAGGGCCTAACTCTGCAAACACTAATGCACAGGCTTAATTTAATGTGGATGAGTAATATGTGAGATTCTTCATGCATGCTGCTTAAAGCATAAACTTAATTACTTTTAGGACCACAGCCTGCACTGAAATAGGAGAAAAAATACAGTGTTATATTTATATAAAAAAGATCCCAAAAGCATAAGCCAGGTTTATCTCATACTTCTTCCTCAGTCACTACAAGTCTGTCTGAGGAGCTGCTGGAGGTTTTACTGCTGTGCACTTACCTGAGGAGCCGCAGCTCTGCCAGGAGGGTAGGATTTTGTTGTGCCTTCTCTGGTGTGGGCTGAGATGCCTGCTCATGCTCAAGTCGCAGCCTCTGGATCTCCTGCAGGATTTCTCTTGGGAAAGGGAACAAGCAGAAGACCACAAGTCAGTCATTTTCCGCAAAACCAGCTCATTACACACAGCTGGGGGAGAAGAAATGTGACTGTACAGAGCTTTTAACCAATGTAGATTTAGTGACTGTGCTCCAGCCAACAGAAGTAGCTCTGGATATTTAAAAAAAAAAAAAAATTCAGTACTTTGTAATAAAAGGGAAGCATTTCTTCAAGATCCCCAATGCCAGAAGCAGACACAAAATAACTGTATGCATCAACTTAACAAATAATAAAATAATATCTGCCCATCTTGAGTATATACGCATATATATTGTAGTGTAAGCACAGATCCAAGAATGGTCACTGATTCATGGAGAAGCACATTAACAGGACTTGTTATGGCTGGCATGCCATCCCTGGAATGCTGTCAGAGATCGAACACAAAGCTTCACAGCTGAAGGTTGAAACCTTTGTGATTTTTTTCTCTCCTGCACAACGTGTTGGGTACCAGACGGTCAGGAGGCGGACTCCAACTATGAAAGACAAATCAAGACTGGAGCTGGTGGCTCATTATACCATGACAGAAGGCCATGCAGGGCTTGCAATAGGAAACCATCTGGTTTGGGCTGTCCTGTTTTACAGTCCAGCAGTAAAAGCAGAGCTCTGCTGTCATACATCTCATGACATCGGGCAGTCTGATACTTAGGGCCAGACACTCTGCTGACAGCACATGGGTGTCACTCCTGTTGGAGGTGGCTAGCCCATTTCTCCTGGGCACTATCCCTCAATCTCACTCACATCTGAACCCAGTGTCTCATTTCATCAGTGCCCTCACCTGCTGCTAAGCTTTCTGCAGGCCTTTCTCGGGCAAATTGTGTTCTGGGGAGCTTTAAGCATCTTCTTCACAAATAAAAGCAGGGGAGCATATCGTTACCAGGAGGACTAATCCTTTTATCGTTTCGTGTTATAGCTCTACAGAGGATCCAGATAAAAATTAATGTGGTTTTGAAACAGAACTGGTTTTTTTTTTAAGACCTGAACAAACAGCAGCTGTGAAAAATAAAGTATCAATGATTGTATCATGTCATTTGACAGGACATTCATTAAAGAAGAGGGTGGCTGGGGATCTTAAAGCCTTTGTCATGTTCTGTGGACCTTTTTGTGCCCTCTGCTTTTTGCTGGGGAAGGCACATAAGTGTGTTTAAGTACAAAGCACAGAAGTGGTGGCAGAAAATAACACACAACACATGGGGCTGAGCAAAACCAGGTACGCCGTGGATCCTTACCGGTTTTTATTCTCAAGCTCTGCAATCAGCTGCCTCTGCTGCTTGTTTGCATCGATGGTGAAGGAGATGTCTGCCGCCCCTCTCTGCTGTGCCTGCTGCTGCTGTAAAAAGGAGGGCTGCTGAGCAAGGGATGGCCAGCGGGCACCCACGACCTCAGCACAGAGAACTGCTCACAGAACACACAGTACCATGCATGTCCACATACAGAGAGCATCCATGTTTTGCTTCATACCAGCATGGCTCCACTGCTAGCGAGCAGTGCAGGTGCTACAGAAAATAATGGAGTGTTTACCATCCTGTCTTTCCACCCTTCCTTTGGGAGCTTTCTCAGCTCCACCATCTAAAAGCTGAGGGAATGGCGCTGCAGCAGGCAGCTGCTGCAGTACGGACACTGAGGACAAGAGAAAGGCACTGACAAAAAAACAGCTTCTCTCTCCAAAAAGAGGATATGCTTCCACTTCAGCAGTGCTTCCTTCCCTCGAAAGTTGGGTTTTACTCTCAGTTTGAAGGCTTTTGCATCCAGGTTTCAGTCTGGCTGCACTGCCCAGTCGGCCAAGTTTTCCCATATGCTCCTTGATACTTCTGAAAGCTCACCCTCCAATCCTGCAGAAATAAAAAGCCCTTTTTTCCCCAATAAAATGAAATGGGAATTGAATTACTTCTTACTAACCTAAGCATTATTCACTTCAGTTTTATTGGACTATGTTATTTTCTTGTATTTTTTAAGCAGATGTCAACTACTGGTTTGTTTGTTCGTACACACACCAGTATTTCAGCACTGCATCAATGACAGTGCAAGGCAAGAATTCACACTGACATACAAAGTTTTATAATTTTGATCAAAGACATCCATTTATGTGGCTCTGGGCAGCCTGGTCTGGTCATTGGCGAACCTGCACACAGCAGGGGGATTGAAACTAGATGATCATGGTTGTCTTTTCCAACCCAGGCCATTCTATGATTCTATGTCTAACACGAGGGTGAAAGAATCAGACAGTGAAGGTTCCTCTGCTGAGCTGCTGCTGCGATCTGAGCGTTTCTCACTGTCCAAACCCTGTGAGGCCTGGACCAGCTCTGTGTGATGCCAGACACCCCTCCTGCAGGAATGGGCCCTCAAAAAGGATGAAGACAACCCTGTGGTCAGTGGGCTCTGTGCTATCTTTTCTGTTGTGGGTGCATTTTCAAACTGACACTGCGACAACCAGGGAAGGCAGCGCATAAAGACAGGCTGGTGGGTGTCTGATATTGAGGGAGCCAGGGTCACTTTCCTCAGTGCCCAGTGTTATGAGTACATATGTTTTCTTAAAAAGCAGAATGGCCACCAGCAAAACTTTATACATTCCTACCTGCACCTAACTTGGTTCTACTCTTGTGCTCTGCTGAAAGATTTTTGTACATGGAAACCTTCATTTTTTCTTTTGTCTCGTCTCAAAGAAATGGGCACTTGGCTGACAAAGAGAAATTCACTGATTTTACTCAGACCAGCTCAATTTAAAAGCTACTTAAGTACTGTTTCCTCAGTTCTTCTCCCTTCTATCAAGGAACATGTTATGTACACCTGATTTCTACCAGTTCCTACTCAGAGACCTTACCAGTAGGGAATTTTGTCCCCATGATAAATTACTTCAATAATAGTCCTTCAATAATAGTCAACTGCAGGCTGCCTGAGAGCTGAGTGCTGTGTGTCACACCATGGAAAGGAACTGCTGTGGGATGGCTGGTCGACCACAACCCTTGAACCCACTCCTCGAGAGAGAAATTGCACCAACATGATGGCTGCATGAGGTGGCCTCACATCGAGAGCACTGCCTGGCTTCACCCTTCCAATTGACCCCACAATGTAAATCTCGGTGTGAAAGTATGCTTCCTGACATCTGGACCGCCTGCCTTTCACTTAACTATCATTTATGATTCCTTGTTCTACCAAATGTGCTGAGATGGAAAAAAAGTAACTAGGCTGACCTTACTTATGCCATTTAAGATTTTATATACCTCGATTAGGCTCCCACTTCCCTCTCTAACAGAGTTAGTGAGGTTTCAGCCTGTCACTACCTTCTGTCTCAAGATACACAGAGCAGAATAATCAGTGCTCTGAAATGAAAATGAGAGCCGGGGCTAATGCAGTGGGTCATTATGGCCATCCTGCTGGAGATCACTCTTTAAAATCCTGAGCACTTAAGGCCCTGGTGGTAGTGATATTTGAACTAAAGAGTAAAATGGATTCATCACTCATTTTTCCAATGCAGTAAATCATTAACCTTTAGCCAAAGCTTGTCCAGGCGATATTTTCCAGTTTTGCCTGAGTTTAAAGCGTCAGATTCCCTTTGATGTACTTATTTAAGTACCATTACATTAGTATATAGATTATATGCATTAATATGTGAATTCTTTGACTTAAATAAAATGTTACTCATAAAATATAACAACATCTGATGAGAGGGATAGTGAAATACAACCCATTAACCATGGAGCTTGTCAGACATAATTTCCCCGATCTTGCCAAGCCCCTGGAACATGACAGAAGGAAAGCACCTCCCTTTAATTAAAACACTTACTGATGAAGAAGTTTCTGCTGCCAGCCTTGCTGCATACCTGGCGATCAGCTTGTGCTCTTCATCCAGGCGACTTGCGCTGTCGAGCACGCTGCTCAGGGTGGGAGAGGAGGAGGGCAGACACGTTAGCGCACAGTACGCACGGCAGCTGCTCTGCCACTTTGTCCACTCACACTCCCCCATCACAGAACTTAGAAACAAAGCATCGCCAACATGTTTACAACAGCAGATGTTAATTGAGCCAAGGAGAAATGTGGGAGAGCAAATTCGTAGGGGCAGCTTTGCAGGGCACTTACCAAGCTCTCACAGAAGTCAGCTTTAGAACCACTAATCTAGGAATTTATAATCAGACTTTTTCTTTTATTTTTGTTTTCTTGATATTTAGGAGTAAGTTTTCAGAAAACCACATAAATGTGCCCCACTGATCCTAGCCTTGGACTGGCTTTATCATGGACCCAACTCATGCTGCCAGGATGCAGGAGTTTAGTAGCACCAAATGTAACAGTCTGCTTTGGTCACATACAGAACTGCCACAAAAATTGCTAAGAAAGTGCAAGAACTTCCAGCAAATACACTGCATTCCTTTAAAATATTGCACCTAATTACAATTCGTTTTCTAACAATATCAAAGGCAAATACTCCTCACAGTTTAATCCTTTGCCAGCTGTCCTTATTTTAAATGGAGATTATTACTAAGTTAGAAGAGCATGAAAAACTTAATACAGTGAAAACATTTACTTCTTCTAAACATTTTAGAAGTTTGCAGAGAACCACCAAAACTATTCTATATTGCATGATGCCCACTATATACAAGAGAAATGAAGATGAAGCTGCTAAGAGAAGGTAAGAAGAATTGCCGTGTGGAACATGACAGCCCTGCAGATGATCCTGGATAGAGGCAAGCCTGCCCTCTCTTCTGATGCCTTAGAAACTGTGTGATGTTTTGGCTGAAGGGAGACAGGCACGTGCCTCTCTACCCATGTACCAATTACGACATACAGCTTGTTGCTGGAGAATGAGTTTCACATCTCAAAGGAGTGCACAAAACAAGGGCTGGGCATCCTATCCTGTTATTCTGCTAGAAATTTTACCTTGAACCTGAAAAGCCTGCCAGATGAAAATAATTTCTGAGCAAGAACTTCTGCTTCTGAAGAATCAGCAGATATAAAAGAAAACAGAAATATTTCCCCCCAAAATTCTCAGTGAGTTCATATCCCCAGGTACCTCAAAGAAATATAGTGTGCATCTTTTGGTTGGCTTGATTAAGTCCACTGGGATCTAGAAGTTATGTTGGAAAGATGAGTAACTGTTGACATTCATTGATCATTAAACTAAAGCTGGGAGTCATGTGGATTTGTTATGACTTGCTGAGGTAAGGGAAAAGAGATAAACATCTTTCTCTCATTCTGACAATAACCTGTGAGGCCAAAAACATGAAGTACAGAAAAACACTAAAGCTATGAGAAGTCAGGCATGAGAGGGTCTGTGCAACCTAAGCTTGTGCTTTTTTTTTGTTTCAGTTATCCAAGTTATTTTATTGCATATGTAGCTTAACTCTGCTCTTACTCAGATTCTTGCAGGATGACAACATACGACGGAGTTATTTTCTGAAAAGTCTCAAGCCAAAGGTGTTTTTTTGATCTTTCTAAATCCATGAATAGTGTTCTTCTTACATACTCGTGCCTACTGTACCAGTATGTCATCCAGAGAAAGAAAAGGAGAAGAAACTCTTACAGACACAAACGATCATGCAAACCAGGTAATAAGGATTAATTTCATGACAATAAAATTCATTTTTAATTTTTCCTTAATGACTAAAACATAACATTCTAACAGATGGCTGTGAAAATAGCAAGCATTGAGCATCAATTCTCTTTTTTACAGCAATGTGCAACTATATTATCCATCCTGGAAAAATAATAGATTATGGTTCCACTTGCTGGCACAACACAATCTGCAGCACAGCTCTGGGATGTGAGCTAACTCCTAAAACAATGACTTCACTGAAAGAATCAAGGCTCTGCTGCTTTTTGATTTTTACTCCCTATTTATGTCTTTGATATACAGTTATGTGTAGGCTGATGTCATCAAATTGATGCAGCAGTGCATCAAATTTGGCCTATGAATGCCAGAAATCAGTGGCATCAACTCTTTGTGAATTAAATTTCAATGTCTGAGAAATATTTAATTCCGAAATATACCTATTCTATGTGATCATTAAGCACAGAGGTCTGTACAGCAGCATTAGCCTGCCAATACTTTTATGTCTTAGATTTCAGATTTGCCATAATCCACTTCTGTTTTTATTTCAGCAATTTCACGGAATATGATACACTGAAAACACACAAGCTTTAAAATGTTACCAATATGTGTGTAGAATGTGGGATCCTCAAGAGAATCTTACAGGCATCCTTTCAAAGGAGACTCATCACATACAAACAGTCTGCTGATGAGTCTTGTGCAAAAAAAAGTTACACAGTTGTTTTAACACTGCTTCTTCATTAGTGACCATTTTTCTAAAGATTTGATAATTATCAGCAGTAATTGGTCTGACAAATAGCCAATACTATTCCCTTTACAACAGGACTTTTTGTTTAGGCTTTTGTTCTTCTGTTTGATGCTTTACAGGCTGAAGGATATCCACGAGAAAAGATCTCAAAACTCCAGGCCTGTGGATAGCCTGTGGAAGAGGAGAGACACCCAAGCTCCTTGGCTATTTCCTATGCTTTAGATGTGCTCAATTAGCCTGTTCAACAGCAGACACTCTGCACTGGGTGTTAGGGATCCAGCGATCCCGGCATTCTTAAAATTATGCCATCAATGGTTTGAAAAGTCTTTGAATTGCCATTCTCTCATGAAAGTTTTGCAGTATTGGAATCGGCAGGGCCTGCACGGTGTGCTCTTGTTCTATAAAGTGCAAACTTTCACTTAGTTAATAAATGAATAATATACTATGAAAAATGCTGACAAAGCAATGTTAGGTTTCTAAGTATTAGTGCTACAAGAACAATGTTCTAATTGCAACCTATCAATGCACTTTGATGCTTGTTACCTGTGAGACTTTCAAACTGTTCTGGTCTACAAGCATTTAAAGCTGAGATGTATCATCTCAGATTTACTTTAGAATCACCCATATTTCACCACAGAAATGTCAGTATCAATAAGGTATGCAGAAATTAATTCCACTCGAGGGAGCCCAGTGTCTGTACATTTCCTCTGTCATCAGAGCGTCTCTGATTTTTTTCTTCTTTCATGGGAAGACTTAAAGCAGAAACCCAGCTCCAGTATTCTGAAAGCCTGTGAAGCTGAGCTGATCCAGAGATACGCTTTACTTTCCTCCCAGCTAGCTCAAAGTGAGCCCAGCCTTCCTAGCTAGTTAGCTCTTCTGCACACTTCTGTAATAAACATCTTCTAAAATAACATGGAATAACATGGCACTTTTATAGTACAGAAATATGACTCACTACATTCCTATACAGCATAACATAAAAACCATAAGCCAGCTCTCTACAGAACAAAAATACCCTCCTCCTCATAATGTATCTTATCTTATTCTGCAGCTAAAAGGAAAGACTGGAATATGTGAAATTGATATGCAAAACTAGGTAGAAACTCTAACTTACGAGAACAAAGAGGCGCAGCTAAAGGCTTTTCTTTCAGAATCAGACATTAAAAACGAACACAATTAAATATCATCTATTGGTTTTACACTCTAAAACACACTTTAAGAATAAAATAAGCAAAGCATCTGGTAAGGGGTGCTATTTTTACCCATACAGTTACTATAAATAATGAAATAGTCTTTATCTTGCTTCTTAATTTGCCCTGCAGTACTGGATCTAAATAAAACCTGAAGTAGCTTATTAGCCTATGAGAGATGGAAAGGAAGCTTGTACTTCTCTCGTTTCAGTGTCAAGTAACTGCAGATGGAAGACAAAGATAAGCACTGAAAAATAATTCAAAAAACCAAATACGAATACTAGCTATGCTTAAACAGACAAAAACACTAACTGGACTATACTGGATCATTAGCTGATCGTTAGCTACTACAAATTAGCCAGAGTCGTCATCTAAAAAGCTAACCTGTTCTGTTCTGAAACACGACTTATAGCTGTCAATAACACTTTTATGTACTGTGCTCACGAAGTGTATTTGTATTTGTCTTTAAGGTGGAGGTCCACCTCCAATCATTCCTCTTTTCAATGACAGATGCCAGCAGCACCTGAAAGCGTGCTGTGGCAGATAGGGGTTTGCATACACAGTATGTTGCAGGAAGACTCAAAGGCTGAGCTGGCTAGCTGCAGAGCTACCTGATTACAGTTAGCTGTGTGCTTCACTCAACTGACCACATGTTGAGCTGCAGTATCAATAATCTTGAACTCAACACCATCCTAACACAGCTGCATGGGTTTTGAGCAAGATGCATCAAGTCATGTCGGGACCAGGACAGAAGGAATTTCCAGTTTCCTGAAGATGCTGCCCCAGACGATGCAGAGAACTCACCTTCCTCTCCTGGTGACATTTTGTTTGTTCTTCCCATCTTAACCAAAATGTAACCATCCACTATTATCAGTCTCACTGCAGCTGAGCAGAAATTGACAATGCAGCATGGTTTGATGCATGACAGAGACTGCTGTTCCTCTCGGTTATGTTTCTGTCAAAATCTAATTGGTATCTCATATAAATGATTGAGATTGTTCCTAGTTGAGGATGTTGTGACTGCAGTGATTTAAAGTTGGTAATGAGATTGTATGTACTACACTTTGCATCAGATATTCCAGTAATTAATGCCATTACCAGTCACTGTCCATTCATTCTTTTAAAAACATGACGTTTTAAGGATGCTATGGTACATAAATTTTATGTGCATATTTGGATACAAATATGTACTGCGACTTGGTGAGGTGGGTCCACATGCTTGAAGGAACAGGTTGAAGTACTGGAAGTACTGAAGTACTGGATAAAATTTAGAAGATGAAGACGGTAAAGATGAGGCTGGACGCTCAAATGGGATCTCACTGGTGATCCTCTCAGAAGCTAAATCAATCACAGGCATGGCATCAGTAGCACACCACCAAAAATGACTCTAAACCAGGTCCAGTCTATGTGGACCTCCTGAATCACCTTATTGAGTAAGTCACTCATGGAAGGCAGGGCAACATTTCCTCCTTCCTCTGTCAAACTAGACCTAATGGTAATCTCCTCCTGTTCTCTTCAATCATAAGTGGGCAAAGACTGCTCTGAATGCCCCAGCAGCTTGCTTTCACGGCCACTCTGTAAATATTATTAAATAGGCTTGCTTTCTGAAAGTGCTGCTGATCCCCTTTCAAAATGTTTTTGTTTTGAGGAAGTGGTTTTCATTTTCTTCTCTAAAATGCAGCTGTTTTTTTTTTTCTCCCCTCTGGCAAATTCTAGTGGGATGCAGAGTAAAGAAGCAGATCCAGAACAACAAATGCAGATTCTCTGCTCCACAGGGCACAGCTACATGGCAAGTTACCATTTTCAACAGGAGCTACACACAGAAATCAATTTTCTAAGGTTGCAGAGAACCACTGCATTCACCCTCTCTAAAGAAGCTGTTTATTGCCTTCTCTACGTATAACAGTATACAGGGAGTTTCTAACCTGGGAAAACCTCTGCAGTAGCAGTAGGAACAGCTGTGAGGCCATTAGCCACCAGCATTAGGACAGCACATGACTTTAGAAATAGCATGGAGCCCAGTGCTCCATAGTCCCTCCCTCAGAAATAATGAACTACATTCAAGGCACCCATTTAAAAACCTTTCATACCTGAATCTGAATGAAATATAAGGTGTGTGTGTGTATATATATATATATATATATATATATATATATATATATATACACAAGATACATATAAACAAAGCAGAAATCACGTAAATGTAAAAACGCCTGGCATAAGTAAAAATTGAAATTAATTTCTTCACCAGGCTAATAAGCAAATTCCAATTATTGGCATTATTTACATACTACTGCCATTTGTATTATCAAGGTAAGCTGAAGCTATGAATTATGTATCATCTTAAAAATTATTGTCTTGGAAATACAAATTCAAGTAATTGTGTGAACACTTTACCATTGTCAAGTTCCTCACTGACTGGAGTGTGGCATTCCAAACCAATTTGTGAAGTCACTTTTTATTCAAGTACTTATTTGCAATACCTTGCTACCAGCAACATCTTCAGCAGCTCCGGGAGGACATACCCCACAAGCATACACGTTCCCTTCAGGTTAGTGCTCATAAAAAGCTGCTTCATGGGTAGCCACGAGGAGAGCAAGTGGCCGACCAGCGTCCCTTTCCTGGATCACCCCAAAGTGCCAAACCTGCACTAACCGTGCGGGGTTGCTCTGCAGCATGTTGACATACAACCCAATGAGCACATGTTCATCGGCCAGCCTGTCTGCAACATCGAGGCTGTACTGTAACCTGGAACGGGGGAGAGAGGGTGCAGTCCGGACAGACAGAGGGAAATAAACAGAGAAAGCAGGAGCAAATGAGATTGCGAAATGAGAATGTAGGAACGAAAAATTAAGAGCTCTTAGAAAAAAGATACCAAGTGCAGAAATTATTTTGTTATTGCTGTAAGTTACATATTAAATATTCAGTGGCTTAGGATGGTAGAACCCAACTCAGGTACAGAGCCAGCCATGGAAATTGGTGAAATGCCAGATCAGGCCAGGGACTGGGGCTATGCAGAACCATTTATTTTAAAATAAAGCAGATTGCAAGGTCAGCTCTATTTGTTTCATTATATTCTGTAGAGTTTAAATACATCAAATATATCTCTGTTACACAGATTATTAACATACTGAAATCACAAGCTGGATTTGCTTGGAAACGTCTGATCAAGACCTCGCGCTCAGGTACACACAATTACACTTAAGCATGCCCTATAGAGCTCACAGGGTTAATTGGTTGCTAGCATCTTATCAGGAAATGTATTTACAGAATATATTAAAAACAGGGGGAAGTAAAAAGAAGTTTTTGTTTTAGCTGTGTTAGTGCAAGCTACGAACATACTCTCTCTTTAACTTACCCTTTGCCTTTCAAGAAAGCTGGAGCAGCCCTAGCCAGCAGTTTGCTCTGCTCTACTTCAGTGTTCTTGGAGGGAGAGCTAGTTAATAAGACAGGAGAACTAAGAGGAAGGTAATCACTGAAGCCTACCATTTATTACAGAACAATCTGGAGGAACTCATTCAAGAAGCCTAGACTGAATGAAAGAAAAAAACAACAAACACAGAGCTTTAAAGAAATGTTAGAAAACTTCAGAAATGTGAAGTCAAGAATTAGCTTTCCCTCCTGTTCTTGAAAAGCAAAACTATAAAGCCTTCACTATGGAAAAGAGAAACAAAACGTACTTCTCTCAGTTTGCAGGTAGAGTATGGTGTAAATACAGAAATGCAGCCTCCAAGTTGGTAAAACTTCCCCATAACAGCTAAATTGTTTTTCTCCATGCCTGCCATGAGGCAGATTCAATAACCTATGGAAATCTGCTTATTTAAGTGTAGTAATGGGACACAACAATTCTGTTTTCAGAAGTATTGTTTTTCTGTTGATTAAAAAATATACAGTTCATCAAAGCTCAACTGCCCAATTGCAAAATGCCACTTTTTTTCTTAATTACTGTATTCAATGGATTGCAGTAACTGCATCTTTTCCAATACAAAAATATCCATGTTAATAACCTTATAAGTTAGTTCCTTCCTTCACCAGGCTAATAAGCAAATTCCTATTATTGGCATTATTTACATACTACTACCACTTTTATTATCAAGGCCAATAAGAATGGCCAAAAGTAGAGAAATTTCAATATTAGTTTTTCTTTTTATGGCATTTCTGGCTGTATGCAGCTAAATAGAAATATATTTTACTTTTTTGCTTTTAAAATCTATTTTGGGGTTTGGCTACCATTACTGTAAGTATCTTTGATCAGAAGACCTGTGTGTTAGCATGTATGCACCTGTGCTTCCAGATGTGTGTGTGTGTATAGGCAGATCATTTTGCATAAATATGATACATGATGCTCTGATGGACTGAAGAGCCAAACTTTAACGCTGGGATAAATAAGGAATTCTCAAAGATGAAATGTTGTCCTTCTCCCACTGCTATGGGAGACCAAGGTTATTCATGGAGTTCTGAAAAACATGGCACTAAAAGGTGTCACAGGAATCCAAGCCCTACTGTTTTATACTAAATCTGAAAGAGAGCTCAGTGAAATGCAATATAACACAGAACAAGCAAACAAAAAACAACAAAACAACTTGCTTCTAGTTTCTATGTCCATCAGCATGCTGTTTATGTGTGCTGTGCTTCTACAGAAGTAATGTGCACGCAGGAAAGTATGCTCCATTTTGTCTAGGATACATTTTTTCAGTGTTTTATTCCCAGTTACAGAAGGAAAATGCCTTAAGGAGATACAGAATGTGTTAAAGATAAATTTGTCGCCATAATCAGCAGGGAAGATTTCAAGCTTTGCTTTCTAACAGCACATTGTGATGTCCCCTCTATCATGCATAAACTGTCCTATGCTTCAGCAGCAACTTAATTAGGGTGGAGGAACGGATGAACAAACATGACAAATGGCCTCACCTTGTTATCCTGAAAGCATGAGCATCCAATCACAGAATTGTAGGGGTTGGAAGGGACCTCCAGAGATCATCGAGTCCAACCCCCCAATCCAATCCTTTCTTAGGAGCTGTATTTTCTAAGCTTTTTTGATACTTGTGCATCTCCGCTGGACTCTGACATGCTCAGTAACACATTTGTTCCAGTACCATGCCCTACGTAGGGCGCAACCTGCCACCACCTCTGGGTAATGACTTTTCAGTCCTAGTCCTAGTGAGATGCATTCTAACAATCATATTGCTGACCCCAATTAGTTTGTGGTTCACTGCAACTGTAGATCCTCTGTCAAAATATTTCTGTCCATTCAACTATGCTCCATGTTTTATTTGATTATTTGCTTCCTTGCTATAGCACTTACAATTACTGAGTTTCCTCTAACTGATTTCAAATCATTTGGACATCAATTACTACCACTGCAATTGAGCTTCTTTTGTAATTTAGAAATTGCTCTCTGAGCACTCCTCTCCGTAACTGTTTCAACCTTTGTACCATCTACAAATTGCATACACTCACTCTACTGCTCCAGGTAGGTCATTACAAGAAATAGTGCACAGCGTCTGACTGAAGATAGAACTTTAAGAATCCCAGCTGATACATCCTCCTAGAATGATAGCAAACTTCTGTAAATCTAATTACAAATTTTCAACCACTTGTGCACTGACTTTATACTAATTTCCCTACGTTCTTATTTCCTTTGGGTACTTTTGTGTCATACAGAGACTATGTCAAAAGTCTTTTTAAGGTCAAGCTGTATCATATCTGCTGCTTCTTTTTTACCCACTAGACCAGCTATCCTTCAACGAAATACATCCATTTGGTTTGACATAATTTCTTCTTGACAAATCTATGCTGGCTATTTCTCATCAGTTTATTATCCTTTAGGAACTTACTAATTCTTTCATAATTTCAGTATTGTTGGATACCAAGGTTAGGCTTCTACTTGCACAACTCTTTGATTTTTTGTCCATTTCCACCTTCAGTTGTTTCCTTCTTTGGAAGAGATTACATTTGCCCTTCCTTGTCTCCCACAGCCTCCTACATGCCCCATAATTTCCCCAAAATACAGCTAATAACACAAAGATTATTTTTACCACAGTGAATTTGTCTGGATCCAACAACCTAGAGTACATTTTTCTAAGATACATTCCTGTTGCAATGAGCTGCTGAAGAATGTTTTCCTACCCAAACTAAGAGACAAGGCCTTCATCTCTGGGCAGATGTTTATAAAGATGTACACCTACGGAGATTTGTGAAAAAGTTATACTCTCTTTAGAGCCTACCTGATCACTGAAACAGCCAGACATTTAGCCTGCCTTTAGCAGGCAGAACACTGGCCAAAAAATCCAAGAAGGATTCTCATCTTTTCCTGAAAACGACAAGCAAAGGCATCTGACAGTTCAAGTTTACAACACTCTTCAGACATAGAAATGTGGTCAACAAAGGCAACCAGTATGCTCCAGAAATACTGTACAAACATCTCTCAGTGCTCTACATCCACCTGGAATTCAAAGAAGGCACCATCTACACTGACTCAGCATTAAATAACACTCAATTTCTCATTGGTTATGGGCATTTGATATCACAGTATATTCTTTCTGTCTACCACAGAATTACTGACTAATTTCAACTTTACTGGAACGTACTGCATCACTTCATTTATTCCAGTTGATTATATCTTCAGAAGAACTAAATGTATCAGCTGTGAGGGGGCACTGAAAAACATGCAAGAAAAGCCATTCTGTGTCACCTTATCCTACCTCAAACTCTGTAATTCAATATTTTAAAGAAGACTGAAAGAGGTTGTATCCATTACTATGCTAGTGATAGACCGCAGCTGGGGAACAAAAGAATCCAAATAGGAAAGACATTGTCAATTCAGCTAGGGATAGAGTTATTCTTCTTGACTGGACAGAAGTTTCTACAATGCTCAATCTACCTGTTTTGGCTTGAAACATTCAGCTCATTGAATTTCTAAGGGCAATGGCTACTCTGCAGCAGTGTTCTGCTGCCCTCTAGTTAATCAGAGATCACAAAAATAAGTGTGAGATTAAGAAAAAGTAAAAATATTAGCCAGGGTAAAAACAAATCAGCTCTTGCAGTGTTAGTCACTTATTAGCTGTCACTACAACAAACGTCTATCATTTGGTATTTGGGAGAAGATTGGTGATTTTTTGTTCCTTCTTTACTAAGATAAGTGCTTTAAAGTTCTTAAGCTGTACAGACAGGGGTAAAGGACTCAGCTGAGCACGCTGTACTGTTGATACCAATTTGCACACTGTGCAAATTTAAAAGGAAGGCAATTGTTATGCCAAACTTCTCATTAACACTCACTCATGGACGTCATGGCTCAAACAGAGCAAGCAGACTGTGATGGAGAAGTGGACTGAAGAAACTAAGAAGCATCTCAAGGAAAGCATAAATCTGACTTCCTTTGTGCTTTGGAATAATTGTGTATCCACCCAAAGCTCAATTAAACCGCAAATAACATTTCATGTTTAGTCTCCTTCCAGATGTTCCCACAATTTATCACTATATTTTCTAGTTATCAAAGAACTTCTCTTTAATAAGATTCTTCTTCGCAGTCCTTTTCTCTTGTCCACCCAAGAATTCAGAAATGAAGAGCATGGTTTGCTGCATTTATGCTACCATATTCATTTCTAGCAGCAGAGTGACTTGGTGCTGTATTGTATTCAGCATTTCCTGCTACAGAGAAAGACTGGTGGTGAATGGCAATGCTCTTATGTGAATGCAGCTATCTGAAACAAATACCACAGGAATGCTACAAATGAGAGTTTGTGCCAACTTTCTTTTGCATAAACTATCTAATTACATAAAAACTTTCTTCAAAGCTATCTGAAACCACTAAACTAGACTGCAACACACATTAAAGTAACCATAAGTTGTCTGCAGTGAAAACAGACAGCGGATTTACCCTTGATTATGTTCAGCTAGAAATTCTACCCTAGGTTTGTACAATTTTTTATTATAACATGAATCACTGAGCATTTAATATGAAAACAGCAGAACTGCAAACAAGGCTGTCAAAGTCTGTTTCTCTGATGTATGAGAGGATGAGCTTCCACTAATGAGGCCTGATTCTCCCAGGGCAATAATAACAGTAAAACCTACAAGAACGAACGAAGATACTGTTATTAGTCTAATACAGATTGAAGAAGTTGGCATTTAGGAAAAAAGTACCTTTGTCTCAGTACTTTCTCATTGAATTATAGCTAATCTCATGCACTAATCAAAGAAGAGAAAAAGAAAGACCGTTACACTCCACAGTAAAAACTTGGGAAATTGTTCTTATCCAGTTGGGTACTTTTACATAACATGAATTTGGCTCTCCCTGCAGGTCACTGCAATGAGAGAGAATGTTGGGAAAAGAGCATCAGCTAGAAGCACTGGTCCTCCTCTGAAGCTCCCTGAGGAAATGGAAGGTTTTCACTAACTTCAGGAGTGGATACACACCTGCCTCTCTTTGGCCATTTTGAAAAGCAAAGCAAAGTGGTTCAGGGAGGGTTACTGGCAAGCAGCACAAACTGCTGACCACTAACTCTCAGCAGCAAGAGCTGTGGACAAGAGAGGGCAGGCTGGCTGTGGGACTTGGAATCGCTTCCAAACTCTTCTGCGAGCTTCTTTCATGCCTCTGTCAGGAATACACCCGGGAAGTCATGCACTGAAGATGCAAACATAGAGGTGCATTTTTTGGCTTTCAAAAACAATGTGTCCAACTTCCTCCAGATGCATAATATTAATCCTATGTGAAAAGGTGAAATGAAAGATTAGTGCTGTGCGAAAGCAAGGAAAGTTGGCAAAGCCCACAGCCAGCAGGAAGTCTAATCAAAAGAATAATTAGAGCCATAAGAAATCCTCCAGCCCGCCAGAGCCCTTCCTTAAAGACTATCTTTAGTAATTGAGCAGAATTGCTAATGATTTAGTGCATGAGCTACAGAACTACGGCAGTTAGTGGGTTAGTGCTCTCATACTGACCGTGAATTGTTGTGAAGCTGATTTACATACAGCTTTATAAGAGAATGCTCATCAGCCACAGGACTGGCTACATTTATACCCCCAAGTAACCTGAATGATTCAAACAACGAAACCTTGTTAATACTCCAAAAAGTAAGCACAGGCATAGCGTGTTCACAGTGAATTCTTCAAAATAGATGCAACTTATAACCACTTAGAAAGAACACTGACTTGATAGCTTGTAGGTGTTTGTTACTTTTTTTTCTAAATAAATAAATGCAATTGAAATGTATACGAGTTAAAATAATGACAATAAGCTGAAGCTCTTAAATTGCAGTTAGGGAAGTGAAACAAAAGTTACAATAGCACTTATTACACAGAATTGTTTGATATATCACAGTATTGTTAGCTCAAAAAAAAAAAAAAAAAAAAGCCAGAACCAACCATTGTATCATGGAAACTTTCATGGTATAAGGACATCATACTGCGTGCTTAGTCTGAGTACCTATGGTTGTGGGTTTTGCCTCCTGCCTTCAGAGGATTCTCCATCAATCAGTTCTTCCTCCAGAAGGAAAATAATTCTAATGGCTCAGAGATTACCTACATTTAATCCTGACATTTAGGCAGTCAGCTGAACTACTGAAGAAGACAAAAGTACAATTATCAGGAATTTTTCACATATAAAAAAATAAATGTTGCACAGAAAACTGTGCTGTAATTATTCCTGCAGGTTGCTGACATACATGGCAAAGCGTACTTCTTTTGAAAGGGACTTCCTGGGCATAAATAGAAGCAACATCTATACTCTTAGAGAGCACTGATTTTAATGACCTGTCTTGGAGAAGCCACAGATAAGATTATTCTGCCTTGCTCCAGAACATAAAATCCCACATATGCCAACTCTAGAAACAAATTTGCATTTGCAGTCACACTGTTTGTGCAGGCAGCAGACTAAGGGGCTGCTTTGGGACCGGCTTTCAAAAAGCATTTCAGATGTACCCAGCAGCCTTCTGCACTAAGATAACAATGAGAGTTTACAGTTTATAGCTCCCAGTACTGAAGTCCATAAATCAAAGTAGTAACCATACATCTTTACTTTGACATTTCAGTGTTGTACACTGAGGATTTCTATTCTGTTAGAAAAGGTATCCACACATACCCAGAGATTGTGTTTGGTTATTAGGGAACACTGAAGCACTGACAAATACAGCAAGGACCAGGCAACAAAACGCACCTGAGGAAGACATAGCACTCATCTTCCCCAGTATAGCAAGATGTTATTTTTCTGCCACTTTTTCATCTATGTACATTGGTAAGCTTACACAGAGATTGGGTGAAAAAGCCAGCAAATGCTACATATGTATTTTGGACATAATGAGTCAAAATACTGGGCCAAAATGTACACACTCAGCTGCAAGCACCTTTTCTTTGGGATTAATGTTGCTGACTGCCCCTCTCTGTACTGTTCCCCAAACACTCACCATATTCCAAGACAGTCTTTTCTCTCTTGTAATCTTTAGAGAAAATCTGAATGGCTTAACAGAAGGATGCCTCGCGATGTTGTAAGAATCAACACATTTTCCCTTTGTTTATATCACATCTTGCAGTATGATGCAATCACTCCTAGTAGGTAATGGTATGCCCCAATTTCTGTACTCACATTGCTTTAACATCTACAAAATGTCTACAGAGGCCCATTTTCGGCCTCTGTCAGCGGATTACTGAGTTGCATTTGAGCAGATTTAGTAGAACTTGAGGATCCAAATAAGAACCAGAGCTCTGCACTCAATTGTGAGGAGTTTGGAGTGCCCCTTCTCCATCTCTCCACTTGGATATCTGCGTATTTTTCTGCTCACATCTGCTAATTTTATTTTGCCTTCTTTGAGGAGGGAAATCAAAAGTGGAAACCTCTATCACCCTCATCTAGTGATTTAACATAAATTAAAATAACAACTCACCTTCTGTTGGCAAAGGGACTTCCTGAGGGAACAGAGTGGGAGAAGAGTGTGTCGTTCATGCTGGTTACAGGTCGGGGGGGCCTAAAGGAAGGTAAAATATCTAGTTGCATTCATTCGGTACAGAACAATCAAACAGCAACAGTATTTACAGGGAATTACATAAGTTTCTTGTTTGAATTAACAATACGGCTGGCATCGTCTGTTTTAAGTATTAATTCAAAATTAATGAAAAGTTGATAAAAACACATTGTTACTTAGGTCCAGCAGGAAATAATAATTTTATGTGTTCTGAGGGAGTTTTAAGCAATTCTCTTGATTTTGTTCCTGATTTGGCAAACTGACTCTTTCCAGAGCTTGTAGTTTGTGATGCAGACAGTGCATTCAACTAGCCAGGCTGAGCACCAGTAGCAGGTTAGCTCTGGCAGTACAGAGGTTTGCACGAGGCCATTGCCAATAAATTATACAGCTTTTCTCAGATTTATCCACAGCACTGTGCTCCATATCCCCACAGTGACCACAGCTTATCCATACGCCTCAGTGTCCCATAAAATACTTGTAGTGCAAAACTGCCTTAAGTGCAAAGCTTTTCAACTAGGGTTTATTAAACCCCTAAATCAAAATTTCAAATCAGTTTCTAGTTTAAAAGGACCTATTAATAATGATGGTTTTATTATTACATTTTTTATTTCCCACTCTTACTAAAAATGAAATGAGAAAGAATATTCCCTCTGCTTTCTTTTATTGTCTCCTCTTAAAAACATTTTGTGCATAATCTTTTTTTTTTGTGTCCATCAAAGCAAATTTTTCCCTTCTTAATGGACTTTTTACACAACACTAGGCAAAAGACAAGGATGCTTTGGGAAGAACAGAAAATATGATACTAAATCACAGGCTTTTCAGATATAAGCAGATATCAGGGCTGTAAACTGCCTAGATTTCAAGTTGGTCATGATTCCCTTTAAGCTCTGTGGAAGATCTGTCTTGCTTTCTGAATTTTGCAAATTCAATTTTTTCAAATTTTTCAAACTCTTTGTAAGAAACAAAGAAAAACAGTTCTGCACAGAAGTGAACTATTAATATATATTTTCATTCTTTGTAACCGTTCAAAAACAAGCACAAATACCTTTTTGATGAGTATCAATGGATTTCTTAGCACGAAAATACCACACTGATTGGACAGAAATTTGAAGCTGGAAATAGCAAGATGTAGAATTCTGCATACTTATGGGACAGCATAGTTTTTAGCCAGTGTCTTCAGACCCAGGGGCAAAATTGCAGATCTAGTCAGTAAGAAATTTGTTTTAGGAGCAATTGTTTTGTGGATGCCCCGTTCCTGGAGGTGTTCAAGGCCAGATTGGATGGGGCCCTCGGCAGCCTGGTCTGGTATTAAATGTGGAGGCTGTTGGCCCTGCCTGTGGCAGGGGGATTGGAGATTCATGATCCTTGAGGTCCCTTCCAACCCTGCCCATTCTGTGATTCTGTGTGTCCTATGTAATTATCTCTGGATGAAAAAGTGTTAAGTATTATTTTCTGTAAACTGCTTCATCAGAGCTAGGAAGAGTTTGGGTGAGGCCATGGTGTATGATTCCATAATAATGGCAAGGTCTCTGTAAGATGAGCCTTGTGATATAGAGATTTGAAAAGAAACTTGGAGACAATACTTGGAAACTAACGGGTAAACAACTGGTGATTTGTTGGCTGGGAACTGTAATTATTTAGGAGCAAATACTGATCTGCTGCTTTCTCAATTTTCACAGTGTAGCCACTGTTCAGCAAATACATTCAAACTCTCAACTGGGCAGCCTTTCTGAAAGATGGGTCTAGCCCAAGGCTATGCAGTCCTAGATGCCAAAGAGGACAGGAGGAGGGGCTGTCTTCCAATGCTCCTCTAGAGAGGAGGCAGGACAGGTTTGGGAGAGCTTGAGTTCCACTCTTCCTGGCACTCCATTGACTCCTTCTGATCATATGGAAGTGCGTAGGCTGCATCCATGAAATTCAGCAGATCATTACATCCATGCTTCAGGTTCATATCTTTTCTAAGTTTTATCTCAAAGCCAGGGTGGAAGGGAAGGTTTCTAAATCCTAGCAAAGTTCTTTCCTTTCAATATGTCTTTGCATTCAAAGACAATGATTGTGTTGAAGACTCTTATAAAAAGTTAGGGATTGGTAATGAGATCATGGAATTTTTTCAAGCTATTTTCCTCCAACAAGTGTACTAAAGAAGAAAAATACTCACCAAGTATCTCTTTTGCAGCCAAAATGAAATGGAAAAGAGAAAATTAATTAAATTGCTAGTTTGAAAAATATGTGATTTAAGTACAGCATTGGACAATCTCCCTTCCTATGACCCTGATTTTGTACAAACCAAGATAGCCGCTATGCATAAAAGGTCACTGATGCTGCTAATATATGCAGAGTTACTCTCGTGTACAGATGTCTCTAAATTCTAAGGCTTTGCTAAACTTTTGTGATTAACATTTGTTTGTCAATTCTTATATCAAGAAAACTTAAAATGAATCTGACTTTCCCAAGTCATGTTTCTGCAAGGTTGATGCCCACTGTCACATTCCTCAGGTTTAGCTTCAAATGGATGTTCAAACACAGCTACAAAGACCTATAAAAGCTGGTGACATGGTAAAACAAGAAGAGCATCCCTTGTGGTAAAACAAAGGAAAACTATTACCTACTGATTATAAAAGCAAATCTCTCAGAGGTTATTTCTAAACTTTTGAAAGTGAGTGATTATGCTCTCTGATAAAAGTGAACTGGTGATACTCAATCAACTTTCTCAAGGAGGCAGAAACACTTAAAACACTACAACTTAAAAATGCTACATCACAGTGCACGCAATAGCCTAACATGCGACCATAGTAAAAGAAAAAAATAAAAACAGGAATTTTACAAAGTGCTCCTTGCTTGTCTAATCTATTCTAATCTATGTCAAAAATAATGCTCCCACTGGCTTGGATGCAAACAATTTTAGTACACTGCAGAATGTATTTGAAAATCCCTCTGATCAAGCCACTTGTCTGCAGACTATGGTGCCTTTTTTGTTGCCAATCTTAGCTATAGAAAAGTAAAATCTCCCCTTAGTAATTCCTCCATCAGATTAACTACACATTGAAAACTATTCAAAATGAGCCTTAGATATATTACTTAATTGAAAATCTTGTGTGGCTCCAGTAAAAGAGAAAAATCCTGCCGCCCTTCTGTCTGCTACCACTTCTAAGTGAAAGAACGATAAACAGCACAGATAGTATAGTAATGCAGAGAGTATTTGTCCTCATTTAAGGAAGAAACTACTAGAAAAAGGATATGTTCTGTTGCCAGAATTCTTCCATTAAACGCACGTATAAAAACCTTTTTGCCTGGATTCTCGCCCAGAGCTGTTTCTCTCAACTTCCATTATGTTTAAAAATAAAAATCACATTGGCAAGAAGTTATTCTCAGTGAGATACCGTGGCATATTTCTCCCCTCAGTTAATTTATGTGAATTATGCTGTAGATCATGCTACCTCCACAACTTACAGGTTTTTCATTCACATCCCATTATAGCCAATATAGCTATATTGCCTTCAATCTACGGATAAAGAGAAATTCTATCATAAAACAAAATAGATGGTGGCTCATTCTCACATCCAATCACTCTAAATTATGCCTATATAGCTAGGAAGAAGGGAAGGTGTTAATTTCGCAGCAAAGACTTGGAACAGATCCTAATCAATTACAGCACCTTCTTCTTCCCTTACCTAACTGCACTCAGCCTATTCACAGCAGTCCAGCTTTTACTTGCTGCCACCTTCCAACACACCCTGAGGCCTCAGAGGCCCTCTGCCACCAGGGAATAGAGGCTTCTGTTTTGGTTCCATGCTTCCTGGCTTTCCAAATCTGCCTAGAGACATGAATGGCCCAATTCTGCCCTGTGACATTACCGCTGCCTCAACCAGCACAGCCAGGCTTTCACACCAGGCAGGGCAGAGTTCAGCAAATCCATCTCTGGCTGATGTGCTCCAAAGAGCACCTCCACGAGGAGCTGTGCAGGCAGTAGGTGACAGCTGAGCCTTACAGCAACTTGGCACTGCCTAGCTGCTGGAGCACCTTTAGTCTAAAGAACTTTTAGGCCTTGGAAGACTTCTAAAACCACATCATGTTCTGAGCATGAACACATCCCAAAGTGCTGAAACTGTATGAAATTGCATCTACTCTACCTCTGAAGGGAATAGGGACATATCACCATTGTGTCCCATACTTGATCATATGTACATATTTCACCAGCCTTCTAGTGAAGACACACCAGAAGCACATTTTTGTACTAATTATCTCTATCAGCAGATTTGCACTTGTGATGCATTGAACTTGGTAATGACACAGCTGCTTCCTGCTCTATTGAGAGCTATACCATCTAGACTAGGCGTAAGCAAGCCACACAATAAAGCTTACTTTCTCTAGAGCACACAGATACTTACACAATATGAGCCAGGTTTAGAGGTTTTTCAGGCTGGTCAGGGAACATTGGGTGCAAAGGTTCACGGCTGGAAGCACAGCTTAAAGACTTGCTAAGTGCATTAGTTAGCTTCTTAGCAGGTGATTTCTGGGAGGAACAAGGAAGGTAGAGGTAATGTAGACAAGTAAGGTGCAAACTGTTTCTGCTGTAGGATGCACAAAACAACAGGAAGCTCTACTGCTTACATCAATATGACTGACATTCTCCCGTCTCCTCCCACCCCACTCTGGTAAGCCAAAGACCGTTCAGATTGGAAAAAAGATTGCTCTTACCTTCAACTGCCTTCAGAGAAGGCTCTGGGGGGGTTTATCTATACAGACAGGTGCAACTGCCATTGGTCCCTGCAACGCTGTGCTCAGGAAAAACTGAAGGTAGAGCAGTACAAAGGAAGGTCTCTCAGGCTGGAGCTGGCTACACCTCACCAGCTGGCAATGTCAGCTGAACCCATCTGTTTGTGCCTGTCTGTATAGTACTGTACAAGACACCATCCACTTTCTAGCTGGCGGCTAGCTACAGAGTTGATACATTCTTTCTCCTTTTCATGAGTGTTTGCCTCCTCAGCTCAGCATCTTATTGCTATAAAGCTTATCTTCACCTCCCTGGTTACACAGGTGAATGAACCAGGACATGGGAAATTTCACGCAAATCTGGACAGAATCGTACCAACAGCATGTGAGAAGAAGCTGACATACTGTCATTGCCACCAAAAGACTGAAGGGCTCTGTGCAGAAAGCATGAGTTCCAGCCTCAAATCTCACTCATCTTCAACAGTACTCATCTAAAAAATCAACACACTGCTTTAGTTTTGCTTGAGCACTCCTTGCAGTTGAACCCTTTCTTAAAAATGAGCTTGGGGACTGAGGATCCCTTTTAGGTTTTGTGTGAGATTTTTGGGGAATCCAGTTCACCTCTCTGTGACTCAGCTTCTCAGACAGGTAAACCCAGGCTGATGATCCTTACAACCTTTCCTCCCCCACAAAAAAAACAGCTCAGCAGGATGAAATTTAAAAGTGCTTTGAGAAGGTAGCAAGAGAGGTACATATATATGCACGTATCCATGTGTACATGCATGCCACATAAAGTTATTACTGTAATCAATGTAATAATGAAATATTTCTATTACATAATTTCAGCCTAAATCTATAAAATTCAGGCTTTTTCTCTCATATTATAAATGAAATTTTACTCTGAATTCAGATCAGTTGATCTCCACCATATATATTAAAACCTTTAACCTGCATGTAGAGCTTGATATAGATTTATTATAGATAACACTAACCTGTTTTGAATGAATGCTAATGATCACTGTAGAAAGGCTATTTCATACTTGCAGGAAAATGTTTGTTTCTGACTATGAGACATTTGAAACCATAAGGTATAGTTGTGTTTTCTCTTCTGTTGAGCAGAAATCTTACGTGTCAAAATGATTTCTTGCCTATAACTACAGTTCTCCTGCTACAGCCAAAAATGGTTTTATAGCACAGATTGCTGTAAGTGGAGCCAGAGCTAGGTAGCTGGCATTCCCTTATTCAGAGACCAAGCTCGAGTCATTGTGTCTATGCAAAAAGCAGCAATTAAGACCCACAAAAACATTCACAGACTCAGATCTGCTCTGAGGCAGTGCAAGGCCATGTGACTGGCATGCAGAGCAAATCACATCAGATTTAACCCTTGCTGGCTCCATCACCAGTAAGACTGCTGCTTTATAGATGTGAATTTCAGAGCTTTGTTAAGAAGCATACAAAAAGCACTGTTTGTGTGTAAGTTGTTGCCTCACTTATCATTTTCTTTTATAACGATTACGCTTTTGTTGTATTAGAGATCAGCCAGGATTTGTGTGCTGGTCTCTGGCTGAGCACCCTGAAGGATAGGGAGGCTCAGGGACCAAGGATTGTCTCCAACCCTGGGAGAGTGCAGCCAGCACACCTGATGCCCTGAAAAGGGTAAGGTAGCTGTCAGTGCTTCTATGCCAGCTTAGAAAAAGTATTTAATGATAAAAAGGCCAAAGTCTGCTTTTCTCCACAATAAACACTGCCATGGATGGATTTAAGCCTACGACCACACTCAAATCTACCATGCCAGGACTACCCCAAAATCTATGTATATGCTGCAGCCACTTGGCTTAAAATACTGATGAGCCAGCATTAAGCCACTCCACCTACAGAGAGCCAGCAATGCCCAACAGAGACAGCTGGGGACAGTCCCATAGGAGCAGGAGGACTTACTGTGCAGCTGGCGCTCTGCTCTGGGCCCTCGGCACTGCAGGTCTGCAGCACGGCTGTCACACACCCACCCTGAATGCACACTCCAGAAAGTCTGCTCCTACCTCTGTGCTCTCCCACCAGCTCCCTGGGTGCAACTTCCCCGACAGGCTGCTGATCCCAACCGGCAGTCCCTGCCGGGAGCCCCCACCCAAGGCAAAGCGCCCGCGGCCAGGCACAAGCCTCCCCTTACCCATGACGTGTACTCTTTCATTTGGTGCTGGTTGCTGTGGGAACCGCTGGCATGGCCTCTCCAGAAGCAGTCCTGACAGAGCTGGTAATTGTGGCATTGCTGGCAGCGGTAGCGGAACCCCATCATGCTCTCGCTGTGGCAGTAGGAACACTCAACAGGATGGAAGACTGTGGGAGAGAGACGCCAAGCTTTAAACCCAAGCAGAGGAACCCAAGAAAAAGCTGATGCGAAAAATCTCTGAATGGAAGAGTGAATCTTTTTTTTTTTCCCTAGGAATCTGTGACATCAGGTGCTGTCTGTGCTCTGACCCATTGAGCTCTATGTACAAAAATTCATGTGCCCTTCCATGAATCTGGCCTGAGCCGTGAGCCCGAAGCCTCTGACTTTTGCTGGACAGATACCTGTGTCTCTGCTTGCATCAGAAAGAAATACATTCAAACTGTATCTAAGAGAATGTAGAGGAAATACACAAGTGAGATAATCCCCTGCAGCCTTCGGCTACACTGCTGCGGGAAGCTGAATGTTTTGCTGTGCCATCAGGAGGTACAGCAATGGGTCCCAGAGAATATGTCAGGCTCACTGCCCAGTTACTTCAAGCACAGCAGTGTCTTCAGGCATAAAGTTGCCCCTTATTACCTCTGTCTCGTCTGTACAGCTGATGTCACTTAGGCATACAGAATTGGCTTTGGATGTCTTATTTTGGAAATGTGGCCATTGAAGGGACCAGCTTGGTCCTGCTCTCTGCTCCTCTCAGAAGCAGGCAGAAATGAGGATTCAAGCACTGAGCACACTAAGGCACCAGTCAGGACATTCTGAACCCCTCTCCTGGCACTTCTGCTATGTGTGTTCTCTCCTCACTGCACCATGTGTCATACTTACCATAAGACACTGTACTTCTCTTTCTAACCAAACACCTGCTCTTCCCTCCTGAGGTTCAGTCTGGGAGGATTTAGACCAGTCTAAGTATGTCAGCGTTTCATTTCCTTGCCAGAATTTCGCAGCAGGAAGGGTTTGTGCTCAAGGCTGGGAAACGGTGCAAAGCCAATAAGGGACAGGGATGGATGAGGAGAGCAGGAGGAAGCTGAGGGATGACAAAGACTGGAGGAAGGTGGGGTTGTCTGCTGGCTCTGTAGCCAAGGAGGATTTAAGACTGTCACCTCATCCACCTTCATGCCTTTAAGTGGAAAGGGGAATTAGTACAAGAAGATGTACAAAGTCCTCTGTCTCTTGTTATCACCAAAATGGCTGGAGATCTCAACTTCCTTCAGGCTCGTTTACTTGTGAGAAATACATGACAAATACTTTTATTTCCCAACACTGTGAGTATATATATGATTTGTTCTGCTTTCTGAGCCTTGCTTCTTCACCCCTGCACTGTCTCAAAGCTTCAGTTATGCTAGAGGCAAACATTCTGAGAAGCAGGAACAGGAATATTCAACAATCCCCTTACATAGCAACTTCAGAGGCAAAACACTGGGCTGAAAAATTATTTACAAAAAATCTATTTATAAAGCATAATTAGTATTTTAACGTGGATTTTGTTTTAGTATAAACTTCTTCTTCCTCTACATTTCCCTTTTTCTAGGTTTAACAGTACTGGAATAATGCCTGTCAGCATGATTGTGTCCTGATGCCAGTGGGCAAGAAATGCCCCTTTACTAAGAACAAGTACACCTAAACATGACAGGCATTCCTTGTATTGTCTTTTTTTGGTCTATTTTATATTGGCAGTGTTGGTCATTCTGGACAGCAGCAGCATGTTGGTTTGGAGCTGAGAAACTCTTCCAGAAGCACATGAGGAACTGTACAGTTTGTGGGGTGCAATTTAGTGGCTGCTCACTGAAATGAGAAGGCAGTTCTCCAGTTCTGCCTCTGCACTTTCACCATGGCAGCACTGTGTCCTAGAGAAATCATATATGAAGGGTTCGGCTGGAGGACTCCTCATTTGTGAGCATGGACTATTGCCAAGGTGCTCAATGAGTTTTAAGTCTGACAGACGTTTCTGTCCAGAGATAAGCAATGTGTTCAACGCAATAACCAAAGTAGCCAATCTTCAGGACCCTTTCCTGTCTTAACGTCTGTCATCTACTCATTTTGGGGAAGGACAATCCTTTATGGAAAAAGAGCCATCTGACAGTTAATCCTCATCTTCCAGGCAAAAAAAACCCCAAAAACGTAAGGATGAATCTGCAACTTCCTTGCTCCTTTTCATAGTATATTGCCTGGCAGCATAGGCCTCTTGGTATTCTGCACTGCACTGCCCTTCTGCTGCCAAGAATATCACATGAACAGAAACTGCCAAGATGTTCCTCCACTACTGCCATATGTCACAGCTAATAAAAGCTGTGGCCTTGAAGTATGTGAATGGATCAAATCCTATCATCCTTTGCTTATCCAGAGCACAGGAGGAGTGGACAAGATCAGGATAATTTCCAGAGCACAGCAAAACATCTCCACAAAATCACAGGACTTTAGGGGTTGAAAGGAACCTCTGGAGATCAACTAGTCCAAGCCCCTTGCTAAAGCAAGTAGAGTAGCCTGTTTCTGGCTGAAGGACCAACAGGATTCTTCAAGTATTTTACCAGTAACTGTAAAAATAGCACATGGAATTAATGAACACAGTACAGTAGCTCCTATGAAATCAACCACAGAGTGAGAAAATCCTCCCACAGAAGCTTACTCTAGTAGTGTTTTTTTTTGTCAACAGCTCTTACTTACCATTTTCCACATTTGCCAGCCGATGCAGAAGTGGTAACCACACCAGACACTGTGGCGGCGGATCAGACATGAGAGTATCCAAGAAAGTGTTTAACGTGACTTTTTTCTGCTCAAATAAGAAAACAAACATGCACAAAGAATCAGTAATCAGATGTATCAACACGATTATATCGTGTTCTTAGAGAAACACTTGGGAACAAGCTTCAGACACTCTTGTAACCTTGGTCTACTGAAAAAGACAATTGACACTAGGAAACATGGATTATTTTTAGGAGTCAGAATTTGTATTACTAATGACTTTCATGAGGCTGCGTTGGAGATTCCTAGTTCCCACTTATTAGAAGAGTCTTCTAAAGTCATCCCCTGAAGATCCTTTGTGAATAAAATTCACAGTTCCATTCTCACATGTTTTGAGAACCCTCTAAAAATACAAATGAATGTAGGGTATCGCTGTGCATAGCTAACAGTCAGCAAAGAATGGATGATAGTCCAACAAAGAAAAAAAAAAATTACAAGGGAGTATAAGTTCAGAAAACAACATAAGATATGGGCAGATCATCACAGCAGATTGTGTCATAGCCTTTGGGCCATGGTAAGTGGCTGTGCGAGAGCTCTGACCATGAAAACATTAACTCTCTATACCTATAAGCACTACACCACTCTATCTTTCAAAGAGATTTCAACTCCAAAATATCCTTGTTGATTTAACAATCCAGTATCAGGCCTTAAGTTTCTTAGATGTCTGGAGTCACACAAACCTTAGTTCAGTAGTTTTTTCAGACCTACAGGTGATATTTCAGCTTCAGATATCTCTTCCATAAGTCCTTTCACTTTCCTATGTAGTACATTAGCTATAGAATGAGTACTAAAGTACACAGTTACTGGTTGGTCCAAGAGAGAGAGTCCTTAAGAAATCAGAAACCGAGCCTTCCTTTAAAATAAGATTAAGATAAAAAATATTGAGTCCTCTTGAGAATATGTGCAGGTGTAATTTATAAACATACGTGTTTAAGTGGCATTCCAAATCCAAAGTGATTGCTAAGTTTTCATATTTGATTGAGTAAGCACAGCCTTAACTTGCTGGAGAAGGGTGGTAATCCTCATCAGAAAGGACAACAGCAGCTATGCAATGACGTATATTACCTTCATGCGTAGTGGAGTGCTTTTAGGAGTTGAAATTTTCAGATGGAGTGCCTCAGCTGCACTTAGATACAATTGCTGTGAGATGTAAAGAAAATCAATATTTGTCTTCTACACTGAGCGATCAGTGGAAAACTCTGCACTCTGGAGCAAGCTCGAGGTTGAAATATTGCAAGATATTGGGAAATATATAAGGGTTTCTATCCCTAAGACAAGAGAAAATACCTTAGGCTATTTGTGAAAACAGTCTTGATTCTTTAAAGAACACAAGTAGCTGGAATATGAGATTTAACTCTTAATGAAATACAGCCTTTTCCCTGCCATGCTTGCAGTATGAAAGTCCAAACATACAGTCTAGTAAGGGTAATTAAAGCTCTGCCAGTCCCCCAAGCCAGCCTATGTCAATGCGCTATCACCTTAGGTACCACCTGCTTGTTGTATGGATGACCTCCCCAAAGTGGATGAACAAATCAGGGAATAACGGGGTCCTCCAATGCCTCAGCTGTAGGGCCAAGCAGAACCTGTCTCCTCTCTGCTCTTGCTGGGAGGTACGTTGACAGTGCATCCACAAGTGTTCTAAGCAAGCAAATAGATGGGGAGACAAGAACAGCTCTTCCACAACAGATACAGCTTTTGCATGCAACTATAATTTCAAACAGTGGCAACTAAAACAAGTTAGCTTCACCGACAGCTTTATGGCCTGGAGGAGCCGTATGGAGATCATCATTCTTCTGATGATCACTGGTTTTATGCATTAGAGAGAGCAGTGGCCCTTGAAAGGGCACCGGCAGAACAATTTCCATACATTCTAGAAGACATGCTTCCTTCTGCAGTTTTTATCAGCTGCTAGGAGAATAAAAAGAGAAAGTTGTTTTCTAAATATATATCACATGCAGATGGAGTCTGGATTTGTGGAATAACACTTAGCCAAGTGATAAGAAAATGAAGTTAGTGCCTATTTTTTTTTTTAGTTTGGTATAAAAAGAGAAATTAAAAAATATGCTTTTAGCATCATAGCACTTTTTAACACGAATACAATGTAATATCACATTAATCCTACCCATGGGGGAAAGTGGTAAAATACAAAAAAAAAAACCAAACTCCTTTTTGAGCCACAGATCCACATTCTGAAACACTAAATCATTTCCTCTGCTTGGCATTTCCATAAATTCCATAAATTTGCTGATGAGGAAATGCTGTTTCTATTTTGATCAGTCATTCCCTCTAGCAGTGGTTTAAAGACAGAGGAATGCACATGGTTTAATCAAATGAATGAGTACAATGGAGAAGAAATAAGCATTTCTGCAATAGGTAAATTCCTTTCAGAGGCAAAATGAAATGGATTTGGCATCACAAGCAGAAGATTATTCCCAGAATTTTTTTATTCCCACGACATGTAGGAATCTGCTTATTATGGGGTTGAGCTGCTTCTGGTAGATCAAGATGAGAACAAATGGAAGTGGCTAACTGAGCACCCCTGTCCCCTGCATTATCACTCTGGGGGCGTGGGGAGAACGGCTAGAAGTAAACAGGCACAAAATGCATTGAAGTACTATGGAAAAAAAAAGATGACTCATGTAAATGTGTGTGAGGTCTCTCTTCTACAGCAGAATAGGTGTACTGAGTCAATAATACACCTGAATGCTCTGACCTAGGGAAGGCAAGGTCTACGCTAAGAATTAGATGTGTGTTTCTACGAATAAACAAAATACCAATTATTTTTTACACAAAAATGTTCAGAGACAGCCATCATACCATCAATGTAACTTCCTAGCTGTGGATAAAAATATGAAAACATTCATATTGTTTGAAATCTGCCATCTCAATTTTTTTAGACAATAAGGAGATGATCGAGGACTGTATTTTTTTGCAGTGTTGTATGTACTGCAAGGAAAAACATCAAACTGTTTGGAAGGCACTTAAAAACTGTTTTCGAAGATGAGTCTGATTTATTATTATAACTTTAACCAGAAGTGGTAATCTTGAAGCCGGTCTGTGCTGAATGCTAAGCCTGAATTTCTTAACTACCACATGATATTCCAGTAGCTGAAGCTTAGTGTTCCCCTTGGTTGCTGCACTGGTTGGCTCATGAAAAAAAATATAGAATAGGAGGGTCATTTCTGCAATAACATTCTAAGAATTTTTTTTTCAAATTAATAGTTCAACCTAATCATGTTCTTAGTGAAATGATCAGGTTTGCTCAGGAAAGTGGTATTTTGAAACACACAACTATATAACAAAAAAAAAAAAAAGGAAAAAAAACAAATACAGCAAAAATGTATTGGAATATCAGGGTGAACATGTTAATACATTGATCTCCTTGGATATACAACCTAGTGGGCGTAAAATCAAACTCCCTCACTCAAAACTTTAAAAACAATACTGAATATAACATATGCTACTAATACATGCAAACATTCATTGCTTAAAAATAAATGGTAATTGTTTCTACTTATATAGCTTATTAGCTACAATAGAAAAAATATCTGAAGTTCAGGAATGCTTAAAGCAACAGAAAGAATGTTGAACTTATCCCCAGGTACACTAAGTGTAATATGAGATGGTGAAAGAATGACCTTTGGTGTGACAAAGACTGTGGCTACCATTTATCACAGTGTCACATGGATACATTGCTGAGACTCACATTTCAAAACTCCTGTTCATTCCTAGTGATGACTGAATGAGAACTGCATAGAGTGAACATAAGTGAATTACTGGACTAGATTTACAAGAACACCTGGCTGTTCAGAGATGCAGACTTAGTAAATCCACTTCGTACTGACATTACTCAGAGACCTAACTCTTGGTGGCTTTAAATGGAGTCTGTTTAGTCTGGAACTAAACCTTCTAATGACTGTTTGGAGGATCTGGAACAGGCTGCCCAGGGAGGTGGTGGAGTCTCCTTCTCTGGAGATGTTCAAGACCTGCCTGGATGCCTACTTGTGTGACCTGCTGTAGGGAACCTGCTTTGGCAGGGGGGTTGGACTCGATGATCTCTGGAGGTCCCTTCCAACCCCCACAGTTCTGTGATTCTGTGATCTATCTTTCTCAGGGTAGCTTAATATGCGTGGTCCACTCTTATTTGGATGCAGTGTCAATGAAAGCCCCATTGCCCTCATGGCTGCTTGAATAGAAAACGAGGCCTAAATTACAATATAAGGAAAAAGAAGAAACTAATTTTTGATCTTCATAGTATCATGTTCAATGTTCAAAGCTTGAATGCTCTGTTGCCATGCAAGAGCACTTTTTTATTATTTTACATCAAAACTACCAAAAGTCACTTTCCTATTCTTCAAGACAATATGAAGTGCTGTTCTAAATCTCCCACTGTGAAACAAGACTATTTTCACATATGCAAGCATTACCATTTAAAATCATTTGGGAGATGATTCAATAAACGAATTTCAACAATGTCTTTCAGTTTACTGGAGAGCCTACTGATTAGTGATGAAACTGAAGGAAAATAAAAAACGAGACTGTTTTGCATGGAAATGACACTATTCCTGCTCCATTTGTTCAACAGCATTCAGTTACACTTTAGTAATGAATGTAACCAAAGAAAATAACATTTTATTTCTAACATTTTCCTAGTTTCAGCATTTTGCCTTATGCTAGATTTATGGCATTACTCAGTGTGCTGTATAGCAAGTGCCAGAGGATCTCTCTCCTTCCACTCTATTGGAGAAGTGGATACCCAGCCCCAATTATGGGAAATAAGAGTTTGATTTTAGCTGCTGCCAAAGTGGTGTATTCAGTGTGCCTACACAACCTGGTGAAGTGTGGCAAATCTTGTGCTCTCTTCAGGATAACCTCACTGTTTTCCTGATAGTATCTGTATGGGACTAGGGACTTTCTAGTACCTACAGAATTCCATTTTCAATAAATGCTGAAGGCAAATACTTCTACACCCTTGTAAACTTTTTGTGTGTGCACATCGTCACTTGGAAAGCATGTAGTTTGATTTTCTGATGAGAGTTGTATGGTGAAGCTAAAGTTTCACATATGTTGCAGCAACAACAACTAACTGCAGTGGGAGACAGCATGTCTTGGGGTATTCACATTACATAGGAGTTTGCACTTAACTTCAGTGATTAGATTAGGAATTCAGTCTCTACAGGGTCTCCTTCTCTGAATTACTTTTTGGCAAAGCTGCTCCCTCCTTGGTGACTATGTAGGGAACCTACAGAGACTAGATTCCCACTATGTGTAGCTAACCTGCATGCCAGCAATAAGCAAACTGAATCTCCATCCAGCCATGTGTTCCTCTACGTAAGAAAGGAGGAAAGCCTCAGCCTGCTCTGAGGTGTGACTGAAAGCCTGTGTTGAGGACACTAGTTCTTCATTTACCTGTTGTGAGAAACAAGATTTTGCTGATTGCTCAGTATAACCGAATGAAGGCCCTTCGAAAACAGCTGTGGGCAGCTTGAGAACTTCCCGCAGAAACAAGTCGTATTTGCCATAAACCATCACTCCACTGGAGTCTGAAATCATTGAGAATATATCTGAGGAGAAAAAAAGACAAGAAAAAGACACAGCAATTTCAGTTTGAGCTTCAAATTTGCTCCTAATTCAGTATTATCTGATCTGAAAAAGAAGTGCTGAACAACATGTTCTGCTTATGGAAACAGTCACTATTACCGCATTTTTAATTATAATCCTACTCAGTAGAATACAAAGAGAATGATTTACATATAAAAAAGAAGCTGATATTGATATGAAAATATTCCTGCTTTTTTTTTCATTGTGTGTGGTCATCTTCTAAGTGGAATCTGATGCATGACATGAGGCAGCAATTTAATCAGATAAGAAGGATCTAATTTGACAAGATACGCAACATCAGCTTTTTTCCTACTGCCAGCTTACCCTGTCAAATTTAAATCTTCACAACAAGCTCATTAAGTTAATTAACATTGTTTTGGACACACAAAACAGTGAAGCTCTTTCAAATACATTCCTTTCTATTCTTTTCTCTGCTTAACTTTTTTGTTCTCGTAGAAAAATATTACATCGTTTTATTGCTCCAGAGATGCAGGTTTATGTTTTCTCAGCCACTACTTTCCCTCTGGTTTCAAAGGATCCTAAGCCAATCATGGGATCATTGACTAAGCAATATCTATCATTTTCCAGGCTGTGATGTCAGCTGCTTCATTTCTAGGAAGCTGGAATGAAGATCCCGGTGACAGAACCTTGAGACTGCTACTGGAAAAATTAACATCATTCCCCAATCTTCCACTGGATGCACTCTGCTCCTTATCCTTAAAACAGCCTAGAGAACACTGCTGAATTTACAGTGGCTCTGTATTTGAATCTCTACATAGAAACTGTATACTAAAAAAATGGCACCAAATCTGGAAGACTAAATTTGCATCTGGAATTTCTACTGTCCTATTCTAACCAACAGCAGTTTGTAAATTCAATTTTCTTTGGCTGTGGTAGAAGGCTCAGAGGAAACTGGAGGTTAATCTTAACCCCTTGGTAAAAATGTTTGGAAAATGTTGTTCTGGATCTGAATTACAGACATCACATCACTGAACATGAAGTTTTTCCTTGCTGCTGCGTGTAAAATGTATCTTAGCTGATTGGAAACTGAAGTAAGTCCTGTGAAATGAGAATCCATTCTGCAGAATAGATGGAATTAATATGTGCCCTATGGGAAGAAATATAGTGAGTAAATATATTGTACTTCTAAGTGTGAAATGAGATGTTCTTTTTTTTTAAAAAAAAAAAGCCTAAGAAATTGCTAAATGATGCTTCATGATGAACATTTGAGGCACTTGACTATACTCTGCATTTAATCATCCCAAAGAAAAAAAATCAAATGTTCACTGATCAGAGCCTGAATATATGCAGTGTGGTCTCAAAAACATGAAATGTTCTGTGACATTCAGCCAAACTTTTAGCAGGATTTTCATGCAGGTGCATACAGTGCAAATCCCAAACCCAGCAATGAAACCATAACCTACCCTAATTCCTCCTTCTCCCTGCCTGTACTATTGTATCTCTAAATAAAACAATGATTAATGGGTAAAAAATAAGACCCAAAAGACTTACATCTTAATTTGTCCATTATCTTTCCTCCACAAAGAGTTGCCAAGGCCATTTTGACTGCAAAAACGGAAATTTTACCATGTCCTTCCCTGTTCAAAGATAGAAAGTAGACATATTTTGTAATATGTTTATCATTCACATGACATATTGTAAAACACACTATAAGGAAATTCACACACAAAGACTTTTGAAGTTTTGCAGGAGCAAACATCAATATGTTGCTCTGTAAAGACCTCAGAAATGATGCACAATGTATGTGACTCTCAGTATTAAACTATTTATCTCATTATGCATTAAGGTGATCATCATTACTGCTGTTTATGCAACAGCAGTACTGAAGGACAAATTCATGGCTTCCCTCTTCTTGTTATGTGCTTGTTTTAGCACATTAAATGCTATTACATGCTTTACAGCTATGTTCATTTTTTAAAATTGTGCTTTTTGTCAGAAAATCAACAAGAAATGCAGACAAAAAGAAATAAATTGACTACTTCAGTATTTAAGAAGTAAATCTTTAATATGTTCTTTAGTGCTGGCTTTGGTGCACATCTCCTTTTTCATCACATTGTGTTCATCACATTGTGCACATTGTGCCTGGCTTCCTGAGATTAAATCCCAGTACAGGACATTCAGAATCTATTCCAGTTTTTTGCATTTCCACTCTTCAATGGTTAGACTCTAATTTGTGCTAACAAATTGTGGCTACAGCTGAGAATTTGATCGTTTTGCATTCCACTCCTTTTTTGCATTACACCTTTCAGACTTCTGGGATATTTTTTCTGCAGTGTTTTATATGAGGTTTTTACCTGCCTTGGAAAGAGTTGTTATGCTAAAGAAAAATAAATGCTAAGTGAAAGCAATAGCGTTATTAAGAAGCTATGGAAAATTTGAACAAAAAATGAAGCCCATGTGGAACTGCTTCAGGTTTAGATATTTTTCCCAGTAAATTTAGTTATGTTTACTAACAGGATTATACTCTTGAGTGGCAGACACATCAATTCACCATCAGCTCTCCATCCCAGAGCCACTGGCGTTTCCCACACTCAAATGGTACAGAACACAGGAACAGAAAGAATAAGATTTCATTTATCTCTTCAATCTCTCAGTTTGAGTTGATAACTTCTGACACTGTGTTTTGTATCGGTCATTTGTATTCATAAAAGCATCACTAGACCCGGTATAAATTCAATTAGCCCTCCAAATATATACGTGCATGTGCGTGCATACATACACACACACACATGCATAAATAAATATGACTGATGGACAAAGAGGATAATGGAGCCTAAGACTTGCCAGTATCAGTCAGATGCAGAAGTGCCCTAAGCTATTGCTAAGCACTGCAGACTCCCTTGACTGGCAGCAGCAGGGCCTTGCATGTTTGTGGCATAAAAGCCAATGCTGGAGCAGCGGCTCAGCAGCATGAAGCCCTCCACTGAACAAAGCTTTAAGCTGGATAGAATCATAGAATTGCCCAGGTTGGAAAAGATCTTAAAGATCTTCAAGTCCAACCACAACCTAACCACACTACCCTAACTCTAACAAATAATGCAGGAAGATATAAATTTCGCTAGTGGAAACAGGACAGGGCGGAAAATGTTGTGGCTTTATAAAGCACCCCTCTTCCAGAAGTTCCTCTTCAGTTCCCTGCAGAAAAGTGTTGGGAGCATTAATGATGGCCAAGGCAGCCCCTGAAGCTGACACGCACTTAGCACCAGCATGGGAGAGTACTTAGACAAAGCAATGGTCAGGTAAGATTATCTCCTGCAGCTGGGAGGAAAAGGGCAAAAAGTAATACATGCTTTTAGACACAGAGCAGAGCAGAAGTTTTCTTCATTCACTGTGTGGCTGGAGGAAAAGACAGCCTCTCTCCATAGCAGGGAAGTCCCCACACTGCCTGATCAACTTTCCATCAACTCCTAGTAGCAAAACTTCTGTACTTGTGGACTTCCTATCATCCACCTAAATTAGGGCAACAGAAGCAGTATTGTTAGAGGCTGTAATTTCAACCTCCGAGGGCTTTTTCAACCTCGGTGATTCTGTGATTTTCACAAATGGTTTTCAAGGACAAAATTATTGGAACCAAGCAACATTCTTTCATTTAGGAAAGAAAAATTCGTAACAGCCAATTCTCTGTCACGCTCCTTTTTGCAGGACTTCCTCCATGAAATCCAGTCTGACTGCATCACTTTCACTGATTAGCAAAGATGGACAAGAGGGCAGCTTTACACTTAATAGCTCCAAGTGGATGATCAAGCAAGAATTTATATATCCAAACAGGCACTGAACATTTCTACATGTTGAACTCAATAAAGCTCTAATATACGTCTGATTAAAACCAAGCATGACTATTTCTTCTTTATTCTGCAGAAGTCTAACCCCTGCAATTAGATTTAGTTTGTTCATTGCTCAGAGCTCTCAGATCTATTCATGAGACAAACATGTCAAGGGACAGAAATATCTGTGATGTTCCTGTCACTTAAACTTTGCAGGGAGAACAGCTGTACTGCAATACTGAGCAGATGCTGAAGATGACCTAGAACAGATTATCTTACAGTCTGCTTAATACGAGTCTTTTTAGGAACTGCTTTATTGAATGAGGCTGACATTTCACCTAGTTGGCTGTCTGGGCTTTGACATGTCTTGGGATGAATTTTTCAGAGAGGTTTGAACTTGCCATGTTGTATAGTATCTGTGTGCCAGTGAATGAGGTATGCTATTATTTCATAAAGTCAGCTAATCACCTGAGCCCTTGAAGCAAAACTATAGCCCGGTTTCCATGTGACATTAAATAGCAAACCAGGAACAAGTAACTTTCATATGCTAGGGGCAAATTAAGTGGAATGCTCCTTGCACAAGAGCAGAGAATCCTGCCAGATTTTAAGTGGGCTATAATTAAAAGGAGCAATGTATAATGCTTGGATGATCTTCAACTTGTTGCTAGCAGGCTGCCAGAATGGTCATGTGGGACAGTATATATTGACCAGAGTTGAATAAATTAGAGGTATATTGGATTTTAAATCACATATTGACTTGTCCCTTGTGGTCCTTTCTTATACACTAAGTGATGGACTCCACTTCTCCACTCCTTTCCTTCGCATTTCAAATAGAACGTGAGCAACTGAGCAATCTCTTCTGAAACTACCCTTGGAACAGCAGGAGCAGCCTTTGTTCTGCATAGCCACAGACACCAAAACACTCTGTGATCACTTCTCATTTATACTGAAAGAGCTATGTTGTCTTAGCCTTAGAAAGCAGAGTGTTTTTTTTATGATTTGGGTTTGTTGTTGCTGCCTGTGTACATAGAATCAAATGTGATCTTATTCGTTAATAAACACATCCCTCACAATTCGGATTTGGCATTTTGGAAAGGCCAGCCATTTCTTGAAAACATGGCTACAAAACAGGAGTGAACTCAGGTCAAAGACAACAGGACTATTTTAGGAGTGACTATTTTTTTTTCCATCAGACAAGACTCCAGGCAATTTAGTTTAACTGTCCAGTTTCTCCATAAGAGAGGAAGAAATTGGAGAAAAAGACTTCATCCAGAGCCTCACAGCTCCCTTTATGCAATGTATGAACACATATCAGTGCAGTTAGGAATGCAGACAGCTCTACTCCGCTCCTCTACTGAGCAGGAGCTACTCACATCAGAATCAGGGAAATCTGCACCACAAGCGGTTGCTAAACAAACACTCAAAACAAAACATCAATCATCTGAGTCATGCTAAAGGATTTTGACACCAGTTTTGAGAATCAGACGTTTGACTTTCATGTCTATATTTGCAATAGGTGGGCAAACACCCATCATATTAAAGAGACATCTAGATGACACAGATGTCTGTGAAGCCTGAACTTAGGTCTCACAGACTGTGCCTGAACCTTGTGATTAGATGAACCACACACACAGTGCTTGGTGCATTCAGCACAGGGTTATGTGCAGCCAGTCCTCACCTCAGGTTCTAAGGCAAAGAGCATTTTCCTCAGGACGCTGTCTGTCTCTGCCATAGGAAATGCACCCTGTGTATCCTGCCTGAAGGCAGCAGCATGAGGACGATGAGATGCCTACAGCCTCCTCAGGTCCTCTGGGAGCCCAAACCAGGTCATCACAGAGCATGTGGGAAGCTGTGCTCAGGGGAAGCCAAACCCTGCTCTCACATTCTGTTTCTGTACAGAGGAGTTAAACCCTATCCTCCATTTTGCTATGACTGGCCTTGACATCCAGCTGACAACTCCACCCCCCACCATGGTGAGCTACAAAACAAGCACGTTATCATAGTTCCTGCTCTCATGGTCCTGGGGCTGCTGCTTGTCAGCTGGGGAGCAGTTTGCGTGCGGCGTGCACCGATGTGTGCATCCGGCCATTTTCCTTGTCCTTTTGTGCTCTTGTCACAGCCTCAATGGCATACATTAAAATGCTTGTTCCCTGCCTTACTGCTGTTGAGAAGGAAAAAATATTCCTGAAGGCTACAGTTCTACAACTGATTGACTTCTTGTTTTTCCCTCAGAGGGACCGGAGGGGAGGCTGGGTGCAGCCCTGTCATGTGGAACAAGTACTTTTTCTCCCCGTTGCCATGGTGACTGAGCTGCCTGGCTGGGCTGCCTCCAAAAGGTGCACAAAACCCAGCCTCTATACCCAGCACTGGGACCATGGAGGGAGAGGTTGGAAAGAGGGAGGGGAGAAGGGCAGCACGGCCAATGTTTGCAGCTGGTGAACTGCCATAAAGAGGCAATAGGCAATATGCAGACTTAACAGCTGTTCTCCAGTAACGTGGGCCTGAGGACTTTGAACACAGCAATGCAGGCTGATGTCTACTCATTCAGTAACTAATACGTACACAAGGTACACTTGCTACAGCAAGCAGCTCACTCTACCTTGAACCTGTCCTTTTTGCGGTATGGGTCCCATACAGTAATAAACAACAAGAATTTCAGTTTCACCTCCTGGTCATTATTCTATTTCTGTCATGGTCTCAAAATCATACTGCACTGGGAAGAGCCAGAAAAAAAAATATGCTTACAGCTGCAAGAACTCACAGTAAATTGAGCTCTTTCCAAATAATGAGCTATTAACCCCTGTCACTGCCGCACAGTCATTGCAGTGGTGTCAGAGACTGGTGCATCAATAAATAACAACATAAATTAGAAGTGGATGTGAATTTGTTTCTGTAGATAATTCCTCTTTGACATGAACAAATTGGAGAAACTGGATGGAAACACGCTTGTGCTGAATTTGGCTCAACAGAAAGGAAAGGCCCTTAATTTTAGGTTTTCTCCCTAGTGAGCACTATTCACACGCTCATTATTTGGGTCAGAATATAGCTTGTGGGATTGTTTTCCAGAGATATTTTCAGAGCAAGCGAAACCCTTTCACCAGTCAGGGAAGCAGGGAAGCCCGTGGGGGATGAAAGCAGACTTACGGATCAAAGGCTGCTAGCAAGAAGTTGAGCAGTAAGCTGATGGACTGCTCCACATTGATCTGGTGGGTCGTCGGCATCCGTTTGTTGAGCTGGTAGAAAATAGTTGAAATCACAGCTTCTAGGCGAGCCACGTTCAGTTCGATGCTGGGATCCAGGTTGTTGAGGGCATTTTCCCGTAAGGCTTCTATCACGTTCCAAATGTCCACCAGGTGCACTAGGGGACAACACACAGTCAGGGGGACACGTTCCTAGACGATACGCAGGAGGTGCTTCAGGAAACATTAAATGAATGTATGCATTTTCCATCACCGAGAATTCAACTTAGTGGAGGGAAGAGCAAATAAAAACCAAATCCATTAATAAACAAACCATATACTGTTACCACTATCTGCAACGAGTACAACTTCAGCTCAGGAAATCACTCCTCGTTGCATGAAGTGTTCAAGCAAAAATCTGTATTTCACTGAAACCACTGGAAGGAAAACGCACGCTAATAGTTTTTCTGAACGGCGTCTCTATGGATACCCATTCAGAAATTACTCTTAGATATTAATTTGCATAGCATATGGGCTTTTCAGAAGAGCCTATGAATACTAAGTGCTTAACACACACTGACATTTTGAAAATGCTTTTCAGCAATTTGAACTGAAAGCAAAATATTTTACAGAAACAGAGTTGTAATTGAGTCAGGGCAAACAAACTACATATAAATAAAGAACATGTAATGAGTGATCCCTAAGTCACATTTTGGTCTTCTAAATATATTTTCCAAATGATTTGTTAAATCTCTCTCTTGATCTCCTGATCTAGGCTGAATTTCACAGGGGTTGGTTTTGCCTGCAAGGACAGCTGAAAGGACAATCTCTGCTCAGCCCTCATATTGTATCCAAACAGAGATCTTGTTTGCATAGCAGTGTTACAGTGACTGTGTGACTGGCTTGCTGCAAATTGGCAATTCTTGAAGCGGTGGACCAAAAATCAAAAAGAAACACAGTCATTCAAAAGTTAGATTTAGTTTAAACACAACTAAAATAAATCATCTTTTTTTTTTTTTAATCTTAAGTATTACCTTCTTTCCTAAAAATTTCAATAAGAGATAAATCATGAGATTCAGGGTGCAAATTCTTTCTTTTTACCAGAGGAACTACTGTACAGTTCTTATTAGTTAGCATAGTGATATGTCTTCATATCGAGAGCTACCTGTATCTGGATGAAGATGCATTTTATCGCAGATAGAAACGAGTTCTAATCCTCATCATTATATTTTCAGTTGCTTTGCAGGCAGCTCTCAGACTGCAATGTGACATGACGGTCTGATGGCAGAGAAATGTAAGCCAACACTAGTTAGATAAATGAAACTACACTGACTCTGTTTACCTAGTCTAGAATTTTGCCCATTATTGTTTTTTTTTACTTCTACCTCAGGAGAAAAAAAATATCATCTCTATTGCCCTGCTACTGCATATGTAAGCTGCAAGCCCAAGGAGGAACACAGAGCATACAGGCAAGTGGCAACAGCAGCAGCAACTACTCAGGCATTATACAAGGTACTTTTCCCCTTCTTCTTGCTGCTCCCTAGCAAATAATTGGGAAAAATTGCAAGATGTAGTTCCATTGTTACACTAACTGCTTACTTGACCTTTATACTAAAAGGAAGCTTCTACAGCCCACCTTGTCTGCTTGACCTTGTCAGGAAATTGTCTTCAGAGAGCCATCCTGAATGAAGGCAGGGGGGTGAACACAGCCTCTCTGAACTCATCCTTTCTATCTTTCAGAAGAACACATTCCCCAAAACAAATCCAGTGTAAGACTCAGATCCTGTTAATGTAGCCATTCCCATTCAAGCAGTTTTCACTGCCAAGTTGCCACTGAGGTAATCTCAGTAAACAGGAGATGAACAATCCTAGAGAAGACAGGCTGTACATAACAACGTGCTAGGAAGCTTCTTTACCATGGCTCAGTAAACAGATTAGACAGGGGACAGAAGTCATCACCAAAAATCAAGCCACTGTCTGGTCCAAGAGAGAAGTTAATGTATTTCCCAATCTGGGTCACCAGCATAAGGTAGCAAAGAAAGAAACACAGAGCAATACGCTGGAAGACGCAGCAAGAGGCTGGCCCTGTTGCACTTATTCTGTGGCCTTACTATGGGGGAAATGATAGGCAGAAAGCAAAGGTTGACTGAGAAGTTTCCACCAGGGTCCAGCTGCTGCATGCCATAAGATTGGCCTCTGGTAACAGACAAAAGAGATGAAGAAGGTGCTTCCACCAGTAGTTCTGGGGTGCTGGGGTTTGTGTGCAAACTGTCAAACCTGGGCTGCAGCTACACTGAGAGGTGGCAGTGTCAGCAATGACAAGGCATAACGAATAGGAGAAAGGGAGAAATACCCACACAGATGGCTAACCTGGACTTAGGCTACACTAGCAAGATAGCAAACCCAAAAAAAGCATGAACAGGGTTACCAGCTGAACAGCACTGCTGACCAAGGCAGAAATTACTAGGGCAATCTAGATATAATTGGAATAAGGATGTAAAATCAGCAACATTGCGGCCAGTAAGAAAGGGACAAACAGGGAAAGGCTGCTCATCTGAGAGGAGATGAGAATAAGTGGAAAAAACCCCACAGTGTGATGGTGGAAGAAGGGAATATAAAGGCCAACAAATCATGTCATTGGAGCTGCTTGGGGTACTCCTCAAGCAGCTCTGCACCTGATCAGTGCAGAGAAATGAAGACAGCAACAAGCCTTGTCCTGCCCACATGCATATTTGGTTCACTTCTGCCCCTGCAGCATTTCTTCTTTTCGCACTGATACTACATTTCTCATAACACAGTCACATCCAGAGTTAATTTTGATGATGGTTTTCAGACGGGAAATATCCAGAGGCTAGCAGAGGTGAGACTAATATCAGCACGCTAACACATTCAAGTGAAAAATATTGTTTTTAGCATTACCTCTAACCTGAAAACCTCACAGGCTGTCCTGATGTTCATTCGTATGCCACAAAGGTAGGGCACACATCTAAGAAAATGATTTAGTGGAAACTGCATAGCAGCAACCGTCCCCCACCTACCATAAAGTATTAGTCTCACAGAACTGCTGTGCATTTGATATTATAAATAATTTTACTTGGCTTTTTTTTTTTCTTTTTTTTTTTCCCCCCCAGAAACGCCTTGGTTCCACTTGAAGCCAAATAATCAACAATCCTATTGCACCATTTTATTTTTCATTTTACTCATGAATTTTAAATTTATTTTACAGAAGCTCCTTCCTGCAGGAAGAAATGAAAGATGGATAAGATCCTAACTTTTTAACATCTGCTAATTTTGAAAACATCTCTTTAAATCTCTAGCTCAAAATTACAAATAGAGTTTGCTAAATTGTTGTTATGAAGACTTCCCCAGCTTTTACTCAAGTTGGTTGTTATGGGCAAGAGTTTGGAACTCACCCACCTAAGCTTAATCCCTCAAAAATTGGTAAACTGAAAGGCATCTAAAATCAGCTACTAGAGACAGATGAGGTGAACGATGCTTTGAAGGTGCTTTTCTATTTCTTTATTGACTAGAAAGCATACGACAACAAGCATACCTGAGATGTGACCTCAAGGCTGGCAAGGTTAACTGAGATGAATCCCACACCTTGTTCTTTAAGTAGTAAGGAAAGATGCCTTTTTTGTTCTGACCACTATGTGGCCTATAATAATTAGGTTTTATAGAAAATACAAATAATAAATAATTTAATCTCTATAAAAAGCTATCAGATCTTACCATAGCCACCTCCTCTGCATCCCTTGACTTAGCACTGAGTGCATCTGGGTGGTACCGATCACTCAGAACCTTATTTTTCAAAAATGTACTTAGGCAGTAAGCAAGCTTAAGTATTACACCATGTTGCCTGCCTAGGGTGGGAAAAAGCAGAGGCAAACATTGGCCTTTATAAGCTCCATTCTGTCTATCTGTACTATTAGAAACTTACGTCAGTTTCAAACTGCAGCTGATAAGGTATCTATAGCGTCACGCCCTTTTCAACGCAAAATCAGAATGATAACCTTGCAAACTTCCCATAAGCTTGTTTCCCTCCCATTTTACTTTTCATCCTCTCCATCATTCTGCTATGCCCGAGTATTCATTTGCCCATCCCTCAGACTGTCTTAATCTCACTGAAGAAGGCATTTCTCCTTACGTCGTAAAACACGTAGTGCAATAAAACCTGAATCTGATTTCTAAGTACTGTGGTGATAGGAAGTTTTCAGTGTAACCAGCTTACAAATACTACCCAACATTTTCTCTCAATAAATCTGCCCAAATTCCTTCAACAAAGTTAAACTGTAGGTTTGTCTCAGATTCTGTAATGGCTACTGTGGCAGCTCTTGCTGCCTTGTGCACTTATACTTTTATACCTTCAACATGAAAAAAATGCCCTTTCTCAGACAGATACCTGCTAATTGTTTTTACAGAGTCACCAGACTACCACTACACATCAGAAACAAAAGCTGCTCATGTCTAGTATCTATGTGGAGTTAAAGTGATTCAAAGATATACAGCCCAGCGAAACGTCAATTGCAAACTGCTGTGGTGGGTTCATCTGATGGGCAGCTGAACTCCCACTGCCTTTCTTCAAAGGAATAGGAGAAAATAAGAAAAAGGGCTGAGATAAGGACAGGGAGATTGCTCAACTATTATAGTTATGGGCAAAATAGTCAGCATAGGGAGATTAATGTAATTTATTGCCTATTGCTAACAGACAACAGCAGTGAGAACTAAAAGCAAACTAAAAGCACCTTCCCCTCATTCACTTTCTTCTCCCAGTGCAGGGAATGGGAGCTGAGCTCAGTCTGCTACTCCTTCATGGTCTCTCCCCTCCCCTGCCCTAGTGTGGAGTCTGCCTCATGGGATGCTGTCCTTCCCAAATTGATCCTGTCTAGGCTTCCCACAGGCTGCAGCTCTCCAAGCACCGCTCCAACTCAGGTTCATTCCACAGCGCCCATCCTTTAGGAGTTGCTTCAACATGGCTTCCCTTGGGCAGCAGCTCCCCCAGCCCTCCTGCCCATCATGGTCTCCCCTCCATAGGCTGCAACCCAAACGCAGGGCTGCTCCTGCAGTGGCTCTCTGCAGGCTGTGCCTCCTTCAGGCCTCATCCACCACACAGTGATCTCCTCCAAGGCTGCACGTGGAGATCAACTCCATGGGGTACCCATGGCCTGCAGGGGACTTC